TCTGCTTGGTCATTTCAAAATCCCTTTCTGCGGCTGGGGTTGTAGCTCAATGGCAGAGCACTTGTCTCTCATACACGACGCACTGGGTTCAATCCTCAGCACCACATAAAAATAAATAAATAAAATACAGATATTGTGTCCATCTACAACTAAAAAAATTTTTTTAAATCCCTTTCTGCTGAGTCTCTTATTCATTTCCTGTATTTTCTTACTAATTTCATTTAACTGTTTATTTTGAATTCTCTTGGATCTCACTGAGCTTTTTTAAAAATAATCACTCTTTTAAATTATTAGGCACTTAATCCATACTGAATTCCTTAGAATCTTTTGCTAGAGTCATGTTCTTCTGGAAACATCATTACTTTTTCATATTTCTTATGCTTCTACATGGAGTTTTGTGCATCTGATGAATTGAGCCTCTCTACCACTTTTAGTGGGTAGCCTTCTTAGTAAGCAGGTTTCTCCTGAAGATGTGTTTTGGGGTGTCAGTTTGTTTTGCAGCTTTATTGTTACAAATGTTAGCTTTATTTCCAGATGAGCACACTGATGCAATATTCTAACAGCTTCTTTGGCTGTGATTAGTAACTTTGGATATAGTGTGTCTGACTCCATCACCATTCATACTCTCTCTACAGGTCATACAAAAATGGACATACTCTAGTGGTTCAGAGAGTTGTGGTCCAGAGAGTTATCAGGTGTCGTGCTGTGTGGCTACCCCTACAGTGGGAGTGGTGGCCCTTACCAGTTGATGGGGATTTCCTCAGGCAGTGTTAATACTACCTTCTGCTACTAGCAAGGGCCTCTGCCACTGGAAGCCCCAACTGTAGAGAGACACCTGAAGCTTTTGTCCTCTGATTATTTAGTGTTATAGGCCCAGATGCTGCAGGATGAGGTGGCAGCAGAAACCATGGTGTTTAGCTCTGCTGGTTTGGTGATAGTAACTTCCTAAAAGTTGGACAAGATTGGAGCTGGGAAAAATTGTACTCACTATGCCCAGTCATGCATACCCTGGTACAGGGTGACAGAGCCAGAGTTGCTCAATGCCTGTCAGTATGCACCTGTGGACAGCACAGTAATGGGAACCACTGTGTAACCCTGCTCTGTAACAGGTCCTCAGTGTGGCACAGTGAAACTACACAGGTGCCTGCCTTCAGTCCTGGCATTGGCACAAATCTACATGTACTGGCCATGGCTTGGGTCTCAGAGTTCAAGTGTCCTCTTCTGATTCTCCAGGGTGGCACCCTCCATGTATTTATGCACATCTCCTAGAGCTTACAGAGCATCCAGCAAGCTTAGGTTAGTCACTCTGCTGGGCCAAATTGGGTTTAAAAGGCAGTTTCCCCAAAAACCAATGCAGGGAATATTTGTGGAGTCCCAAAGATGGGAATATGCAGGTCTTTTAGACCCCCTGAAACAGAACTCAGAAATAGTTTTGTTTGTTTGTTTTGGTGGTGCTGGGGATCGAACCCAGGGCCTTGTGCATGCAAGGCAAGCACTCTAGCAACTGAGATATATCTCCAGCCAAATAGTTCATTTCTAAAGATAGCTCCTGACTACAATACCCTGAGGGTACCCTGGGAAATGACATGAGATCCTTTTCCAAGGCAAGGCAACCGTGTAGTTCCAGGTTGTCCAAGTAGGGTGCAAATCTGTAAGGACTGAAACTTTCCAGGAACTAGAACAGCTAGTATCTGTACTAACACTTTACTGGGGCGTTTTCATCCTTACCCCTGCAAAGGAGACTCCCTAAACTCATTAATTTAATATGTACATATTTTTTCTTAGTATAACTTTGAAATGTTAGAGATATCTATTATAATATATCAATTATAAATGCTCAATATTTATAGCAACTGTATTGTTCCTCTTAGAAATATCTTTTTCCAGAGAATTGCCCATTTTCCTATAATAAAGAAAGGTATGTTTAGATGGAGAGCAAAAAGAAATATTTTAGGAAACCCTTGGAATCTAACCACAGTGAATTTTTTCTGCATTTTTTATTTTCCTTATTTTCTACAGCAATATCAGTTCTTATTGACACCACAAGTTATTTGGGTCAATAAACTTTCAAAACCAAGTTTTCTATCAGTAATAAACCAGATACTACCAAAGAATTATTCAAAGGTGAACATATATATGAATAAATTGGATTTTAGTAGACAAGAGAGGGACAAAGAATACGTTACTTCAGTGACTCAAAGTGAGAAGTATCCAATTTATTCCTATATAATTATTCCTATACTTAGAAGGATCTTGAGGCATCCGACAGTGAAAATTGATTCAGTAGGTCTGTGTTGAGGCAGGAATCTGTTTTTAAAAAGCAATCTGGGTGATTTAAACTTCAGGCAAGTTAAGGAAACATGTTAAAGTATGGATGAAAAGGTTTGTCTGCATACAGCTTCCAAAATACCCAACTTGTTAGACATATTTAAAACCAAACAATTGTAGAGTATCATGGATCTGGAGAACTAGCGGAGCAGAGCCCTACTGCTCCTGTCAGTATGCAGCTCCAGTCTGTCAAATTCATAATCAGAAACACACACCTTTCTAGAAGTGAAGTTGACCCCATTCTTCGCAATCTCCAGTCCAGGGCTGCCCTGGGAGAAACTTTGCACCTTCTTTGAAGTTTTGAAACTGAACTAGGAGAGAGACCATACTCCAGGGGATCTGCAGGCCTTGTGATGTCTTCTAGAGCTTTTTGCATAGGGAAAAAACAAGACAAAATGAAAATGAAACATCCATAGGAGCCCTCCAGAATCCTGCAAGTTGTCTGGCAGTAGGGTTCACAGTTTCTCCTAGCATGACCCTGCGCTGATCAGCAACTACAAGAATTGGCTCCTGTGTGTGACACTGTACTGCTGGGGCCTGATCACAACCCACAACTACAGTGTTGTCACAGCTGCTGCCTCTACTTCCACCTCTGTGATTTCACAGCCATGAATCAACCACAGTGCTTCTACAATGAATCTATCACCTTCTATAACTTCAGTGGAAAGTATTTTGCCAAAGAATGAAATAGTCGGCAAGTTGGTGATGGGACTTAGATTCTAACTGTATCTTCATTTTGTTGGCCAACCTACTAGTCATGGTGGCAATTTACATCAACCATTGCTTCCATTTCCTCTTCATTACTTAATGGCTCATTTGGCTGCTGCAGACTTCTTTGCTAGGTTGGCCTATTTCTACATGATGTTCAACACAGGTCCCAATACTCAGAGACTGGCCATTAGCATGTGGCTTCTCCATGAGGGCCTCAATGACACCAGCCTGATAACATTTGTGGTCAACCTACTGGCTATTGCAATCATGAGGCACATTTCATTTTTCCACACAGAGTTCCATACATGGATGAGAAACTGGCAGGTGGTAGTCGTCATTGTGGTCATATGAACTATGGTCATCGTTACAGTTGCTATGCCCAGTGTGGGCTGGTGACCTTTGTGGTAATGGTGGTTTTCTATACTTGCCTCTTTGGTTACATTCACCAGAGAATGTATTAGACTGTCTTGGCACAGTTCTGGATCCTAGTGGAATAAGAACATCATGATGTCTTCTGAAGACTGTAGTAATTATGCATAGTGCCTTTATCATCTGCTGGACTCCTGGATTGGTCTTGTTACTGCTAGATGTGTGTTGTCTGTAGGGCAATGTTGAGAATGTCTGTAGGCCTATGAAAAATTTTTCCTCCTCCTTACTGAATTCAGCTCTGCCATGAACCCCGTCATCAACCGAGACAAAGAGATGAGTCCCACCTCAAACAGATCCTCTGCTGCCAGCACAGGGAGAGCACCAACAGCCCCACAGAAGGCTGACTGTTCTGCTTCCACCCTCAACCACACCATCTTGGCTGGAGATCACAGTAATGGCTACTCTGTGGCTCAGATGTGAAGCCAGCTGTCCCCTATGAAGAAATGAACTGCCTCCCTCCACCTAGTTACCAGCGCAAGGTGGGGAGTGAGAAAGGAGAAAAAGAAACTCTTGTATTCAAATATTAACCACTGGCAGTATTTGTTCCTAGACCCCTATGAGACTTGATATATGTTGAAAATTCTGACAAATTAAGTCCACAACTTCATTTATAAACCAGCTTTTTAAAAATTTTTAACAATGTTATTTCATTTAATAATCATGTTTATGTCTTTTAAAAAAACACTCAAATGTTCTGGCTCTCTAGACTATGAAACTGTACTAGTTTAAAAACAAACAAAACTACTAGTGAAGTAAAAAGTTCATATTTCTTCTATTGAGAGTAGTGTGAAAGATGTATCAAAGGCCATAGGCACCGATTTTGAATGTTTTCACAAGAAAATCAGACTAATAATACTTCTAAGGATAGTCTGGCCCAGTGTAAAGATTTTAAGCGTCAGTTGTGATAATGTTGAACAAATGATGAACAAATGTTTAAAAGGGGAATGTATACAACCAGTGCACTAAGTATACTGACATCTATTGCATTAAACTATGTGGTAAAGTGTTATAAAAACTGCCCCCAGTAATTTATGCCCTCTGTGCCCATTCTTAACAAGATGACTTTGTTCTTATTGAGAGGTGAGACTTTTCCCCCACCCCTAGAATCTGGACCTCCCTTTTGAGTTGTGACTTACCCAACAGAATGCAGCAGAAGTGACATTATGTAACTTCAGAGTCTAGGCCTAAGAAACCTTGCAATTTTCACCTTTACCTCCCAGAAGACACCCATACCAAGTATGGACATCCAGTCTTGAATACTGAATGATCACAGACCATATAAGGAGACAGTCCTAGCCACAAAGTTCCAAAGAGTAGGTAAGGCCACCTTAGACTTTCTAGCTTCAGTCCTAGCAACCCCATGATACAGCCATATACACAAATTCAGGCAAGACCAGCAGAATTATCTAGGTGGGCACAATCAACTGATAGTTGTAAGAAAGGGTAAGTTGTTCTAAGTAACTAAATTTTGAGTGGTTTATTATGCAGTAATAAATGAGATCAGAAAATACAAAGCAAACAGGAATGAACCATTTTTTCAAACACAAAATAAGTTTTATTTTCAAAAAGCAGAAACTATAAAATCAAGTAACAAGAAAGAAAAACTATAAAACCCTGAGATTGATTCACTATTTAGCCAACTATAACAATTTTAAATATAAGTGCTTTATTTTTATATTCATAAAACTAATTACAACATACCCTAATTTTATTAGAATTTTGTGAGTGTGTTGGAGAATGACTCCCTACAAAAAAAGCCCAATTCTTCTGTCTGTTCAACAGAAACTATTTTAGCTCACTATTAAATTGTAGTGGTTTCCCCCATCAAAAAATGGACTCATATCCCTGTAGTGAATGGGAAAGCCATTGATTTTAAGGAAATTAGCATCCAATCATGAATTTCATACCCTTTGGCAATTATAAAGTGTTAAAGTGCTTGAAAGATGGACTTTCTAATGATGTTGAGAGATATATACAATCTATATAAGTATCAACAAAAATATTTAAAAATTTGAATAAGATTTGCATTGTTGAGGCTTATCTTAAACATTGCATAGTTCTATATCACTATTATAATTTGCATTGTTGCTGCATCAGAGGAAGCTCAAATTTACTACCTTCTGTGGTAGAATAAAAGTATGATTCTACTTAGTTTCTACATTTACCATCTTATATCCCCAATCTATTTTTAGTACCAGTTTAATGATCTAATTTTAGGAAGTGCTTAGTCTCTAAAGACGAGCAGTGCTCATCAGCTGCATCATATCATGGAAAGCATGAAAAATCAGCTGAACTAGTTTTTCCGCATCAGTCTCCGGACATGATTTCCAGGCTGAACAGGCCACAAAAATCCTGTGAAGCACAAATAATGAATGATTATACAAAGTACTCCAAACTGTGATGGTGGCTAGAGTCAGAACCTTTATGCCATCTGGCTGTTTGTACATGAACTATGAATTCTTGCTGACATTAAGTATATGTAATCTGACACAATTACAACTGAAGGAAAAGCCACATTATAAATAATACTAGGGAATCCCTAATTTGCTACCTGACAGCCTGAGGGCAAAATCGTACAAAAAATTAGAGCCCAAGTATGTTCTGAAGGAAGGTCTTTCCTTCAAAACAGAACATAAAACTCTTCCTTAAAAATGTCATTGGAATGAATTGTAATATGAATTCATGTTACTGTCTGCAGTGAAATTCGAACTATTTTGAGGATAGCAATTGAAAAGCATTTAAGGAAATAAGAAAAAATAGCTATTATCACTTCTTATCAGTATTTCTAGAAGAATGAAAGAGAAAAGCTCTCTTGAAGCCAAGTCATCCCTTCTACCATGTCCTTCTAGATCCCCATGACAGAAAAATCCTATGTAAGAATGTGGTACCAGGAAGAAGTTGAAGTATATGAGATAGAAAATGGGTTTCTAGTGGACTCAGAGTAGATAAATGGGCTCCTTTCATGGAACTAGCCTTCTTCTTTCCAGACCCTCAGAAGTTTTTAGGAAGTACACAAATAAAGATCAACATCAAAGTACATTGTAAAGCTTTGTACTATATAGCCATGTAATTTTCACGTTGCTGAAAAAGAGAACAAATTATAACTTTAATATGAGCTTCAGATAAAACATGAAATAAAAACATGCTCTGGCCTTGCATATAATGATGAAATCATCTTTTCCCCAGTGCTGGGAATCAAATGTCAGACCCTTGTGTGTACTAGGCAAGTGTACTACCATAGAGGTACATCCCCAGTCTACTGAAACCAATATTTAAGTGACTTATATTTGCTGAAAGATAAATGTGAAACTTTAGGAAGAACTGCCTTTTATTCACCTAATGATTCATAATCACAAAGGTAATTTTCCAGCTGTATTACAAATGAATTCTGAAAGTTTTAGAAACATCTGTTAAACTTTTTAAAAACTGTTATCCTAAAATTGTAAATATAACCATTCCTACTTCCACAAACAATTCACCAAATGGAAGCCAATAAACCATGAAAATATTTTCACTTCATAACTAAACAAAGAATTCAAGTTATAGTAGTGACTTTGTCTATCAAACTAGTTAAAATATAGAGCCTAGAGTTGACATTAGTGTGAAGAAATGAGAAAGAATACACTAATAAATGTTATTTGTAATGATGAGAAATGAGAGAGAAGCAATTAGATTATGGAAATTTAGCTTATGGAAGATGGAAATTTCCAATCCTTAAAATACCTCAAAGCATATTTAATGGCATTGGAAATAGCTTGAAATAAGTTGGAATGAAGTCACAAAAAGGAAAAAAATTACTATATGATTTAAATTAGTATAAATCATACACAATCTATATACATTATAGATTGACGGCACCATATAATAAATCTTGTGACTTGCACAGAAAGTATAATAGCTTTGCTCATACTTTTTCATATTTTACAAGTTTTTTACAATGGGAATATAGTACTTTTAATGAATTTAATGTAGTACTTTTAATGATACTTTAAAATAAACCAATACTCTTTAAGTCACATAATTTTCAAGTTTTAACAATGAATGGAAAAAATTCTCTTCCAACTTCCAGGTATTTAATTGGAAAATTTATTTTTGGTGTATTATGACTTGTAAATGTATGCCTTTAATTCTAAGAGCACAATGCTCATATATCCAACTATCTGCTGAAATAGCCTCTTGTGTATAAATATAATGAACTCCTATATTAGCAGAACTCTCCAAATCAACATGTACAAAACAGTTCTTGATTCTACTCAAGGCTCCAAAGCAATTTCTCCCCTAATTTTCTCCATTCCAGTAAATGTCACCATCAGAATTGGTAGTTCTTCTAGTTCTAATTCCAAGGTACATCTCAAATCTTCCACTTCTCTCTACCTTATCAACAACCTTGAACAAGTTATCATCTTTGCTTCTTGGTATGGTTTGGATGTGGTCTGTCCTTTTAAAAACTCACGTTGAAATCTGGTCCCAATGCAACAGAAATGGTGGAATCTTTAAAAAGTGATTAGGTTGTTAAGAGGAATTAATGCCATTCTTAAGAGACTAGATGGGTTGGGGAAGTGGCTCAGTAGTAGAATGCTGTGCCTAGCATGCATGAGGCCCTGAGTTCAATCCTCAGAACCACCACCACCACAAAAAAAAAAAAAAAAATCAAAGGATGGTAATTATAAAGGGAGGGTACCCGTTGTATTCTACATCTTCCTCATATGCCACTTGCCTTTTCCACTTTCTACCACAAGTAGAAGCAGTACAAGGTCTTTACCAAATGTGGCCACCTGATCGTCCCAGCCTCTAGAACTGCGAGCCAAAATAAACCTTTTCTTTATAAAGTACAGCATTTTTAGGTATTCTATATGTCAACATTTTACAAGTTTTCAGCCCAGAAGTTACATGTTTTCTTACATGTAAAAGGATCATTGGCTGTTATAAGGAGTGTAAATTGGGTGGATAGTAATATGGATAAGAATCGAGGGAGATGAGGGAAATTAGGAATGTACTGGTTTTGAGGATAGTATGATAACCTAAACCATGCTCTACATAAAAACTCCTGAAGACTGATATCATAAGTGTCTCAAAAGCAAGACAGAGAAATATAAATACACATTAAATACCTAAGAAGCAAAAATAGTTACTTATGTAGCCAGTGACAGATGACAACATAATTTAAGATAACAGTGTAGGAAAAAAAACATTCAAATAATAAGAGTAATACCTTTCTTATTCTACCCAATAAGAATAAAAGAAAGCTGCCTCACCTGTCATCTCTGATATGGTAGAAAAATCCATATCCATTATGTACCATGGGAACCATTACTCCCTGGATTCGTAAATAACCAACCAGACTTGTTGAGAGAACAAAATTTCCACCTCCTCCACTGTGTGGCACAAAGAAAGGATGTTTTACTAGGCCTATAGGTGTTTATATTGTTTCTTAAGAACTTTTAAAAAATAAACCAATTGCCTCAATTATAAAACATCATACAATACTACCTTCTGGAGAAAAGTGGGTCTGTGAAGAGCTCTGGAACAGGGAGACCTTCCTCTTTTGCTATGAGTAAAAGACCTAAAAGGTGACGGTCAAATCCTGCAATGAAACCCCAAAAAAGTAGTTAAAAAAAGTTTTAAACACATTTTTTAAGTCAGAATAATTCCAACATAAGTACCTTTTCCAGCTGAACACTCTTTCATCATTTTATTATGCTTTGCAAAAGCCTGTAACATCTTTTCCTGCCGCTCAAGAAGCTATGGTAAAAATCAAGAAAATCAAGTTTCAATACAAATCAAGAAATCAAGTTCAGTAAAAAACTGCATAAAATCCAGCTTCAAAAAACAAAACAAAACAAAAAAAACCAACAAACAAACCCTAAGCTCATCATAATTAGGATTTGGATCCTTTGGGAGAGAGAAGATCCTAGGATGACAGTGACACATGCATTCATGTCTTTCCTTAGTTTCTCTATTGCCTTTTCTTTCCTGTATTCCCTGCATCTTAATTTTTTACCCCCTGGAAAAGGAGAATAGAACTTTTAGGCAGCACTGAAGTTATATTAGCAAACATGAATACAGAATCAACTGAGATTCCGAAACAAATATAACTAAAAAATGACAATGATGCAATTCTGTAAAAATAACACATTCACATCTATGAAAACTAAAGAAACAAATACCAACATTTTAGTAGGAAAGAAATATGCTGTTGTCTAAATATTTAAACAAAAAAAAAGTATGAAAAAAAACCTAAACACCTGTCCATTAGGTACCATGGGAATATAATGGTACATAATCTACATCTTCCTCATATGCCACTTGTCCTAGTGATATCAAAAACATCAACCACAGGAAGAAATTCTTCCTTTTAAAAATACTTTGGAAGACCTTCTGCACTTTACTAGTGGTGTTCTAAATGTAGATCAGTAGTACTCATACACTCAAAGAATAGAAAATGAAACAAATAGGCTTGTTTCCAGGTATTCTGTTTGTCTTCCCAAACACACCCTTCACTGGCAAATGACCAAATACTTCAAAAACTTCAAAAAAATTGTAAAAGTCTTAAAAGTATTTAAACGATCTAGGAGAACTAAAGCAAAGAAATTAGTTATTCAAGAGCCAAGGTTTCTTTAGAACAATAAAACAAATCCTATGATTTGTTTTCTTTTCCAATACTCACACTAGTAGAAGGATCCTGCATGGACTGGCACCACCTGATTGCCTCTACTGTACATGATCGCATAGTCTCTGTACGGCCATGATAGAAATATCTTGTCATAGCTGTTTCATAACAGCAACCAGGCCTACAAAAAAAATTTTTTTAAATTTTAAATTTTTAATTTTTTAAAAATTTTTTATCATAAGAAAGAAAATGCTTATCACAAGTACTCATTACAAATACAGTTAGCTAATAAAATTGGCTTTGTTAAGACTAAGCCCTATAATTCAGACTAGTGTTGAAACTTTCAATAACAAGGAAGCTATTTTTCAAATGGGACTAAGAAAATACTCTGGTACCAAGGGCTGTTTCAAAGGCTTGGCTGTTGTCAGGTTATATACACTCAAATCTGTGATATGCAGCTTTCGCGATGGCCCCCAGTGATTCATGCCTCCTACAGTTTGTAACCCCTTACTTTGAGTATGGGCTGGATTTAATGCCTTGCTTCTAGTGGAGAGAACATAGCAAGTGATAGGATGTCCCTTCTGGAATCAGGTTAGAAAGAGAGCTCTCTAGCTCTTTTACCTCCTTGCTTTGAGAAAGGAAGTTGCCATTCTGGGAACTACCCTATAGAGAGGCCAGGTAGCAAAAGACTGAAGGACGTCCTTTGGACAACAGCTAGAAAAGAACTGAGTCCTGAAATTACCTTATATGTGAAGTTGGATTGCAGATCCTCCCTGAGGAGTGCCTACAGATGAAAACAAAGCCCTGGCTGACACTCACAAGAAGCACCTGCTCAACTGTGCCTAGATTACTGACCTGCAGAAAATGTGATATAATGAATACTTGTGTTTAACTCAGTTTTAGGGCAATTTGTTACAAAGAAGTAAATAATATGAGTACTTGACCTTTGGTTCCTTTGTATATAACATGAATAACTAGAATTAAGTAGAAGCATTAAGAAGTTTCCCAGAGTGATAACTGTTTTCCTTGACTAAAAAATGATACACAATTTTAGTATTTTAAATTGCAACCACTTTGCTGCTGTTCAAATTTATAGGTTGGAGTGTGGGCACTAGGAGAGTTCTACTAACTAGGAGTTATTGAGTCTCTTCAGTGTTTATCTGAGTTGAAAAAGGATCCTTTCAAAGTATGAAAAAGAAAACATAAATTAAAATTTAAACAGCATTAAAATAACATTCTTTCAAACAAAAATAAAAATAAAAACCATTATAAATAGCCAGGCATGGTGGCTTGTGCCTATAGTTCCAGCTAATCAGGAGGCTAAAGTAGGAGGGTCACTTGAGCCCAGAAGTTTAAGACCACCCTCAGCAATATAGCAAGACCCTGTCTTAAAAAAATAGAGAATGAAAAAAAAATTAAAAATGAATAATAAAAGAGAGTAACCACTGTGTAGTCTTTAATGGCCAATGACCATTAATGGCTACTTAAAGTATTTAGGGAAGAAGCCAGACAGGCATGCCTAATCCTAGCACTCAGGGGGCTGAGACAGGAGGATCACCTGGGTTCAGGAGTTTGAGACCAGTCAATGTATCATGGTGAGACCCCATCTCAAACAAAAACAAAATATCTCAGAAAACAAAACAAAACAAAAAAACAAAAACAAGGAAACAAAAATTCAAAGAGGAAAATCTATAATGAATGCTGTTTGACAACTACTCTCAATCTTTACACGATGAAACAAACAGCATTAAACATTTTGTTTACTGTCATAAAAAATAAGAGCTGATTATTATTCCTAAGTCTTTAGTTCTAATTATCAGTTTACAGAAAATAAAGGAAACCAACAATATGTTAAAGAATACCAGGGAATTAAGATCAGGAAAATTCAGAAAACCCTTATGTAGAAATGACCCAGTTTCTTCATCAAACAAAATGCAATAAGAAAAATGTGGGAGAAGGGATTCTTAAAGCTAAAAAAAGACTTAAGAGATATCAAATGCAATGTGTGAAACTTATGTGGGATTTGATCTGAACACAAATCTGAAATTTCAATGTGTGAAATTTCTAATGCTGGCTATGATGGGCTAGCTTGCAGCAAGTCAGTCCTACTGCTGGGAAAAACAAGAAAAACTGGATTTAAAAAAAAAAAAAATCTGTTTGAAGGCTTTGCAGAATTGTTAAGGAAGCCAGGATGTGAATAAAGGCCCAGATCTGGAAAGAGGAGCAAATTTTTTAAGTGAGGCAACTTATTTAATGCCACTTCCTCCACCTTAAGAAATTTGATGCTTCATAAGACACATAAGCAAAAAGGCTGAGAAACTGAACAGAAAATTATTGGTAAGAAGCAAAGACATGAGCTTTCAATAATATCACCAAGCTGTGAAACAACCCTAGAGTTTAGGATAACAAAGGAGCTGGGGCAACATAGCAAGACCAACATCTTAAAGATGGAAATCCAGAGATGGGAATCTGACAGTCTGAGCTTCTCTGCCCTGGATGCATTTGCTGAATAGTAAAAGCAGTAGGCTGAATGGTAGAGAGACCAAGGAGAAAGTGGCTGCATAGAGACACAGAAGTAATCATCAATCTCATGGCTCTAAGAAATAAAAAATTAAGATCTTAAGGCTTGTTCTAGTAGAGTGGCCCAAGTAAAGACCCCAGGAGCTGACCATAGGAAAAAGGGCAAATAGAAACAGATCATACTAAAAGACACTAAAATCCAGCCTAGAATCAATACAATCTCTGAATGAACTAAGATAAGGCACCCTACTTTAACTGCCCATGAGAAGGTGAAGAAATTCTTATTTAAAGGAAAATAACATTATGTAGAGCAAGTTTTCTCAACCTTGGAACTGGAGATATTTTGAAATGAATAATTTTTTGTTATAGGGAAGACTTCCATACATTTTTAAGATACTTAATTAGTGTCCCTGGTCTATACCCTTTAGATGCAAGGAGCACCTTCTCCCCAAGTTGTGACAACCATTAATGTCTCCAGACATTGTCAAATCTTAATTGGGAATGATTTTTCCCTCCAGAAAACAATTATTGATGTAAAGCCTCTAAGTGCATTACTATTGTAGCTATTAACCTTGTGTGGTAAGGGTAAAAGAAGATATACAAATGACCAATAATTATGTTTAAAAAAATCAACATCTGTAATCATCAGAGAAATGCAAAATAAAAACCTCAATGAGATGTCGTCTCACCCCAGTTACAATGGCTATTATCAAAAAGACAAAAAATAAGGTTGGTGAGGATGCAGAAAAGGGTTAAATTTCTACGCAGTTGATAAAAATGTACATTAACACAGTCACTATGAAAAAAACTATTCAGGTTCCTCAAAAACCTAACAGAACTAACCATATGATCCAGCAATCTCACTAAAGGGTATTTATCCAAAGGAAATGAAATAAGTATGTTAAAGAGATGGCTATACTTCCATGTTTATTAGAGCACTATTCACACTATCAACCTAGGTAACATCAACACATAAATGAATAAAGAAAATGTGGTACATATACATAATAGGATATTATTCAGCCATAAAAAATGAAATTCTGCCATTTTCAGCAATGTGGATAGAACTGAGGAACATTATGTTAAGTGAAAGCACAGAGAAATGCCACGTTCTCACTTGTATGTGGAAGCTAAAAATGTTCATCTCATAGAAATAAAGAGTAGAGTAGTAGTTATCAGAGGCTGAGAAGAATGTGGGAGAAGGGGAATGGAGAGAAGATGGTTAACAGATGCATAAGAGGAATAACTTCTGTTCTACATACAGCACAGGAGGTTAACAATGGTTGACACACACAATTGTATACTTATATATTGTATACTTATATAATTTATATAATAATTATATATTTATATTTAAATAACTGGTAAGGAGGATTTTCAATGTTCAAACATGAAGAAATGATAAGTGTTGCAGGTGATGGACATGCCAATTACCCTAATCTGATCATTACATTTATACATATATTGAAACAGCGCACTGTACCCACAAATATGTATAATTATTACGTCTCAATTAAACATTTAAAAAATATTTTTAAAAGAATATCTCAAATCAGAAAACTAACTACATACCTTATGGATCTAGAAAAAAGCCAAGAGAAAACTAAATATAACATAAGAGAAGAAAGAAAGTATGAAAGATTGGAATGTAAATAAAAAATAGGAATAAGAAAGTAGAGAAAACCAACAAAACAAAGTTAGTTCATTGAAGAAAGCAATGAAAAATGACAAAACTTGTTGGCGTGAAGAAAAAAAGACTCCAATGATAAAAATCAGTTATAAAAGAGGGATTATTACTCCTGATTTTATAGAAATAAAAGGACTATGGGAAAATACTATGAATGCTCATGTTCAAGTAAACTGGATAGCCTAAATGAAATGGATACATTTCAAGAAACACACAAACTACCAAATCTGACTCAAGAAAAAAATAGAAATCTTTCTGAGCCTATAACAAATCAAGAAAATTGAATCAGTAATCAAAAAATCTTTCTGCATATAAATGTCAAGGACCAGATAGCTTTACTGGTGAAGTCTACCAAACATTAAAAACAAAACAAATAAAAACACCAATCTTTCTGAAGAGGAAGGAACACTTCCTAACTCATGAGATCAGTATTATTCTGATACTTACACTAGACAAAGATACTACAAGAAAAGAAACTATAGGCCAATATCCCTTATGAGTACAGACGTAAAAATCCTCATCAAAGTACTATGAAACTGAATTCAGCAGTATATTATAGGATCATATACCATGACCAAGTGGTATTTATATCAGGTACATGAAGGTGTTTAAACATTTGAAACTCAATAAATGTAATGTACTGAATGAAGGAAAAGACCAACATAATCATCTCATCTTCTATGGAAAAAGCATTTGACAAAAGTCTACACTCATTTGTAATAAAAATACTCAAACTAAGAACAGAAGGTAAATTCCTTAACAACATAAAGGATTTCTATGAAAAACCCACAATTAACATCATACCCAATAATTAAAACCCCCAAATTTTCCACCAAATATAAGAAAGAAAAAAGAATGCCTGCTTTTGCCACTTCTATTCAAAATAGTACTGGATGTTTTAAATAGAAAAAAATAAAAAGCATCTAAATTGCAAAGTAAAAAATATCTCTATAGGCCATCAGGCTCATATTTAGACAGCCCTAAAGAAAAAAAAACTACAGCAGCATATAAATTCAGCAAAGTTTTAGGAATAAAATCAACAGATAAAAATCAGTTCCATTTCTATACACTAACAATGAATGAAAATTTAGAAAACAATCCCATTTATAAAGGCACCAAGAAGAATAAAATACTCAGAATTAAATTTTATCAAGAAGGTAAAAAGACACAGATACTGAAAACATAGACATCACTGAAAGAAAGTAAAGAATATCTAAATAAATGGAAAGACATCCCATGTTCATGAATTTTAACATTTAATGTTAAGATGACAACTAAAATGGATATACAGCGATAGTCAGCTTTTTTGTCACTTTGACCAAAATACCTGACCAGAACAACTTAGAGGAAAGAAGGTTTACTTTAAATCTCAGTTTTAAAGATGTATTTCATGGTCATCTGAGTTCATTGCTTTGTGCCCACATCGTGGTGTGGCACAGGAAGCTGCTCACTTCATGGCAACCATAAAGCAGAGAGTGAAGGTGGAAAGAGACAAAGGGAAGATGAACCCTTCCAGGGATACCTCCAGTGACCCACCTCCTCCAGCCAGGCCCCATCTGCCTATGGTTCCAAATAGGATGGACTGGTTAACTCTCATGATCCAATTATTTCTCCTCTGAACATTCCTGCATTAACACAGGAGCTTTTGGGGAACACCTCATATCCATATCATAACATTCTTTCAAAATCTCAGTGTTGTTACTTTGAAGAAGTAGAAAAATTCATTCTAAAATTTGTATGGAATTTCAAGGGATCTAGAATACCCAAAATAATCTTAAAAGAAGAACAAAGTTACAAAGTTGAATGAACCACTTGCAGGTTTCAAACTTATTACAGTGCTACAGAAATCAAGTGTGGTACGGACACATGGACAGAAACACAGAGCAATCGAAGAGAACTGAAAAACCAAAAATAAATTTGGCCAATTGATTTTTTCAATAAGGGTGCAAAGACCATTCCATTGAGGGAAAGCACAAAATCTTCAATAATACTGAGAAAATTGAATATCCACGTGCAAAAGATATTATGTTAACTTGACTAAGTGAAGGGATTCCTAGATACATTCATTATTTTTTAATGTATCTGTGTGTTGACAGAAGAGATTAACACAGGAATCCGTATACTGTGTGAAGATGACCCTCACCAACCTGGATGGGCATCACTCAGTCTGTTGGCCTGAACAAAACAAACAGCAGAGGAAGGGTAAAATCATTGCATGAGCTTTTACATCCATCTTCTCATGCTCTTAGCCATTGGTACTCCTGGCTCTTGGGCCTCTATAACTGTACTGGGACTTAAACCATCATGTCTTCTCACTCAGTTCTCAGGAATCTGGATTCAGACTAAATTACACCACCAGCATTTCTGGTTTTCCAGCCTGCCAACAGTAGATAATGGGACTCTTTAACCTCCATAATCATGTGAGGTAATTTCCATAATAAATTTCAATCTCTCTGTTTCTCTCATACATTTAATTGGTTTGTTTCTCTGGAGAATCCCAACTAATATAGGCCCTGGCTTTATACCATACACAATAATTAACTCAAAATAGATTAAATACCTAAAGTAAAACTGAAACCTTAAAAGCTTCATGGCACTGGATTAGGTAATGATTTCTTGGATGTAACACAGAAGCACATACAACAAAAGAAAAAAAAACACACAGATAAATTGGACCTCATCAAAATGGAAAATAGTGCATCAAAGTATAGAGGGCAAAAAAGGCAGGTGCAGAGGTGCACACCAGTAATCCCAGAGGCTAGGGAGGCGAGGCAGGAGGATCGTGAATTCAAAGTCAGCCTCAGCGAAAGCAAGGCACTAAGCAATTCAGTGAGACCCTGTGTCTAAATAAAAATACAAAATAGAGGGCTGGAGTTGTGGCTCAGTGGCAGAGCACTTGCCTGGCATGTGTGAGGCTCTGGGTTCAATCTTCAGCACCACATATAAATAAATTAATTAATTAAATAAATAAAAAGATCCATTGACAACTAAAAAACAAAAAAATACAAAATAGGGCTGGGGATGTGGTTCAGTGGTCGAGAGCCCCCGAGTTCAATCCCTGGTACCAAAAAACAAAAAAAGGCGTGGGGGGGCAAAAAGACAACACAAAGAATGGGAAAAATTTTTACAAGTCATATATGTGATGTGAAAAAGCTTTCATATCCAGAAAACAAACAAATAAACAAAAAAACACCTAGCCAGGTGTGGTGGCACATGCCTGTAATCCCAGAGGCTTGGGAGGATTGCAAATTCAAAGCCAGCCTCGGCAACCCAGTGAAGCCTTAAGCAACTCAGTGACACCCTGTCTCTAAATAAAATACAAAAAAGGGCCAGGGATTGTGCTCAGTGGTTCAGTGCCCCTGGGTTCAATCCCTAGTACCAAAAACAAAGGTAAAAATACCTCCTAAAATTCAACAATAAAAGACAAACCCAATTAACAAATGTTCAAAGGACTTGAACAGGCATTTTGTCAAAAAAGATAAGCAAATTAACATGTGAGAATATGCTTATCATTAGTCATTAGAGAATTATAAATTAAAACTATAATAGAATACCATTTCATAAATAACTAGGGTGGCCATAACTTTTTAAGTGCTGGCAAGGATATGGAGCAATTAGAACTTTTGTTTAAATAGTCTGACAGTTTCTCAAAAATTTAAAGATAGAATTATCTTATAACCCATACATTCTATTCCTCAAAATAATTGAAAACGGGACTCAAACAGATACTTATATGTCAATGTTCACAGCAGCATTACTCACAATAGCAAATGGTTAAACAAAATGTGGTGTGTGTGTATGTATGTGTGTGTGTGTGTGTGTGTGTATATATATATATATATATATATATATACCAGAAAAAGGAATACTATTCAGCCATAAAAAGGAACAAAGCCTGACTACAACATGAATAAACCTAAAAACACTGTCCTAAGAAATAAGCCATACAAAGAAGGACAGATTTTACATGGTTCCACTTACATCCAGAACAAATTTACTGAGACATAAAGTAGATAGAGGATGCCAGGGACTGAGGAATCACTTTAGAGTGAGGAAAAAATTTAAGAAATAGTGATGGTCATACAATATTATGAATATAAATAATTCCATTGCACTGTGATATTTAAAAATACACTTAAAATAGTTAAAATGGCAAATTTATATTATACATGTTTTAATACTATTTAAAAAGGTATCTGTTTAATGCAAATATATTAAAAGAGTACCATGGAGTTATAAAGCATGACTACAACATAAAGAATGGGAGAAGAGAAATAGAAGCATTCTCTTTTAAGATCATTACATTTGAAGTAGAAAATATATGAAGGTAGACTGTGATAAGTTTAAAAATGTATTTTCTAAACTCTATGTAATTTCTTTTAAAAAATCAATATAGCTGACAGTGCAGACAAAATTAAACAAACAAAACCCACTCTAAAAATTCAAAGGAAGAGTTAAAAGAATATAAGAGATCAAGAGAAAATAAACAGCATTATGGTAGACTTAAATCCAACTTTATTGATAATTACATCAAATGTAAATTATCTAAACATCATATTTAAAGGCAGATATTCTCAGATTGGATATAAAAGCAAGATCAAGGGGCTTCCATTTCTACTTAAGATATAGAAAGTCAAAACACAGTATTTCTCCTATCCTAAGAAGAATAAAGCCTGGATAATCTACAAATCATATTCAGGAACACATCAGAAAAAAAAACTGTAGCCAGGCATGGTGGTGCATGCCTATAATCCCAGCAACTTGGGACAGGAGGCTGAAACAGGAGGATCTTGAGTTCAAAGGCAGCCTCAGCAGATTAGCAAGGCACTTAGCAACTGAGTGAGACCCTGTCTCTAAATAAAATATAAAAAAGGCTGGGGATTTGGCTCAGTGGTTAAGCACTCCTGGGTTCAATCCCCCATACCAAAAAGAGAGAGAGAGAGAGAGAGAGATTGTAGAAAAATCAAAATATCTGAATACCAGACACTAGTAGAGAGCAAATACTTCAAATTATCAAGTGGATACTGTGATGATAGGAAAACCTGTGAAACTGTCACAGTCTCTAATGAACTATTGATGGAAACACAAAACAGGATATAGTGCTGTCAAGGGGGAAAAAAAAGCAAGAAAAAACTACTAGGGAGTTAGGATGGAATTGTTGGAAAATACATACCCTTGGACTTCAAGATTCCAAAAATGGAAAATGAATGGTGCCTACCGTCCATGAAGTCGGTAATAGGCCAGTTGAAGAGCAAGCTGAATAAATGTATCTGGGTGAAGCCCATTCTTCTTGGTTAGCTTTTTGCCAAAAGATGTAAAAGCATATGCTGCAATCTGCAGATTAGATGCCTAACAAAACAATTAAATATAAACAGTGAGAAATCTTCTAAAGAGAATACCCAAAAGAAAACCAAATTACCATTTGCATTACAGTAATCAACAGATATAAAGAATTAAAGGCATTAAAGCTATAATTTCCTTTTTCTCTTTGTTATTAGGGATTGAACTCAAGGGCATTCTACCACTTATGTACATTCCCAGAGCTTTTAATTTTATTTTGAGATAGGGTCTCACTAAGTTCCCAAGGCTGGCCTTGAACTTGCAATCCTCCTGCCTCCACCTCCCACATAGTAGTGATAACAGACATCTGCCACTATGCCTGTCAAAGCTATAATTTTAAAATGTTTTATTCTTCTGGGTGCAGTGGTCATACCAGTAATCCCAGTGGCTCGGGAGGCTGATGCAGGAGGATCGTGAGTTCAAAGCCACCCTCAGCAATGGTGAGGTGCTAAGCAACTCAGTGAGACTCTGTCTCGAAATGAAATACACACGAAATAGGGCTAGGGATGTAGCTCAGTGGTTGAGTGCCCCTGAGTTCAATTCCCAAAAACAAACAAACAAACAAAATTTATGCTGACATGCTTGGATGGTAGCCAAATTTTTATATATGGTAGTTAAAAGAGAAAGCATTACTACTTAAGAGAAAAGTGAAAACTCTACCTCTTTGAAATACTGGACTTTGGCTTGGCTGATGTCATTTAATATTTTCTCATCCACAGTAAAAATGAGTTCCTCTGGAAGTGGGATATCCCGTGCTTTTTCTGACCCCTGAAAATGAGGAAGAGTTAAAAATACTTATCTATGAAATTATCAGGGGAAAATAAGGAAGATTTGTTCTAACATACCTTCCATCTTCCTTCTGTCTCTAAAATTCTCTCATCAACATAATGGGCAACATGCACCATAACCATTGCATCAAAAGGAGCATGCTGAAATGAAAACACACAAGATTTTGAATGCTTTATGTCAAATTAAAGCTTTACCCTATATTTTCTTTTCACTTTTCCTCCACTTTTAACAGACAATAAAGTCAAAGGTTTCTATCCTCAATTTCTAAAAATAAAGATAAAGATGTCCTACAGAATAGTAATGGCTGTATTCCAAAAAAAAAACACAAAAAAACAAAAAAACAGACAAATGGAAGCACCTAGTTGGGATACCTGGGGTCACAGATAAGTGTGTGTGTGTGTGTAAAGTAAACATGAAGCAATCCAGAAAAATTAACTTCTATTTTTAGTGGAAATGAAATCAGGGGAATGTATCAATGTTGAGATGTTCTGGAATTGTTAAGAACAGTGTGGAAAAGCAGATTGGAATGGCAGACTATCTCAGAGCATTTAGAATGGGTATGAACTTCTTTAAGTAAAGAAGACTGCTAGGTGAATAGTAGCCAGTATCTCAGCCATTCTACAAGAAAGCTGAGATATGGCAAAAATAATTTTCAAGTTGAAGAAATGTGGGAAAGATGGGCTAAGTTGCAGGGTTGTTATAGGTTTGATGGCTACATTTAGGGAAAAGAATTGCAGCTAGTGAATTTTCTCATCATTTATTTTGGAGAACAACTTCTTTCACCCATATTTTCTCCTTATTCCATTAATGACAAGTACATCAGATGGTGCTTTCTACTTTCCCTTTACAATAAACATTTATCATTCATGAACTGAATGTGATAATCCCAGCCTTCAAGGGAAAGAAGAAAGGGCTTGAGATATGGACCCAGTTTCAGAGGAAGTAATTAGCTATCTTCAATGTCGCCCTAACACTATGGCTCTGCTACTCTGTATCATGTCCCACTGGACAACTATATGCAAAGTTGACTATTACCAACTAGGAAGTAGTCACAACATCAAGATAGGCTCTGTGGGAGGTCAGCAGAAGATGCACAAGCAATTCATCTGTCATCAGCAAGCACTTATAACAATACTGGCAAGTCACTGATGAACCTATTTTCTATCCGCATCTTACAACTGCTCAGTGCGTTACAGTTTTATGAAGAATTTTCATATCACATATATGGTTTTATTTAAGATGACAGCATCAATTTCTAACTATTTTACTGGAACTAGTAAGAAACAGCAAGACTGAAGGATTATTAGTCTCTTTGTAGCAGACAGACCCAAGAGAAATTGAGGGAAGAAGGCAGAAGGCAGTTAGCCACCTTACATAGGATACTTTGCAGGAAACAGTGAGGACATAAATTAGACTGAGGAAGGTCAAGGAGAACCAAATAAGGAACAGAAAAGAAGAAAACCAAAGCATTTAATAAGAAATAGTTCATCAACAATGGAGTCAAAAGAAGAGTAAAGAAAACAAATCTTCAAAATGATTCAGGACAATCTTGCACTGTCTCTCCAATGAGCTCTAGTTTTAGCACTTGCTTATTAAACAGCACACGGACTTCTAAGATAACAGCTACTTCATTGTTCTTTAAGAAACCACCACACCCATAACGAGTTGAGACTGATTCTACTCACTAGATCCCAAAGTTAGGCATATGACCTAGGCCACACTAAAGAAAGCACTTGATTGTCAGGGATAAAACCATCTTCCTCACAGGCCAATCACAATCAATGAGAATTATTCCAGTACTTTTGCTGGAACCACTGGAAAAAAAGAAACTGGCTATTTCCATGAGGAACCACTGGAAAAAAAAGAAACTGGCTATTTCCATGAGGATCACTAAGGTAAGAAAGCTATGAAGATTGAAGACTGAAGGTATGACAATTGTAACCTGCCAATAGTAGACCTAAAAATGAAGGGAAACAGAGTGCCAAAAAATGAGGAACATTTGCTAATGAAATGCTAATAAAAGCATCTGAACCCAGGAAGTCAGCCTTATCCATATTTAGGTGTACTCCTCTAACAACAGATATATTCTGAAGCTAATGCCAGTTAGATTTAGATTTCCATCACCTACAACTGAATAAATATTGATTAATAAAACTATTGAATCCTTGGTTTTTCTTTTTTTATTTTCTTGCTTTATAGACCTCCTGAATGCTTATTAGAAAGTTACAAGACAGCTTATAAAGACTCTGGGAAGAGACAGAAGACAAATAAGAAAAGTTGGGTTTATTTTTTAATAAAGGTCAAAAATGGTAACAACTGCCAGACATTTTAATATTCATATTATAAATAACTACTGTTCCAAAGATCATGTGATATTTTAGGAAAATATTTAATTTAATTACTAGGCAAACCTTGAAATCTAGAAATATATCCACATATATTTCTCTATGCAAAGAAAATACGCAGAATGCCCTATCATTTTTAAAACAGATTGTGATTCTTAGCAAGCAGATAATGGTACATATAAAAAGAATCATATGCAAATTAACTTTTTCGTAGAAAATACTGAACTGTTAATTCTACTATAAAAGAAAATAACTAAACTTATAAGAGTTCATATATAAATTGTTCACCATAATGTGACAAAACTTTTTAAAAGAGTATTTACTTATATTACAGTGCAGCACAGCCTAAGTGTTTGTGGTTTATTACTATTAAGTTAACCTAAAAGATTAAAAGAAAAAAAAAAGACTTCAGTAGTATACTTACATCACAATTACAGCCAAATATTCCATTAGAAAATGAAATTAAGTTATAGGATTTGTCACCCCAGCGTAGGGTTGGATTTCCAGTAAGGAGAATCAAAAGTACCTAAAATAAATTTAATTTTCCAAATTAAAAGGATTTAAACATTGGTTTGTAAGTATTTACATATTAAATACACATATATCATCTCACTTTTCCTCTTCAGATCAACTAAATAAAATCAGAAGTTATAGTCATGATATAATAATTCTGGCCCTGACTTCAATTATTTCTCAAAATCTCAAGTTAAGAAAATCCTACCAGAAAAGAGAATGCAAGTATATTATTAATGGATGTTTACAGAATATACCATTAAAAACATAATTCTTCTGTAACTTCAATAGTATAAAGTCTTAAAATTCAGCCACTAAAGAGTTAAGAAGAAAATACTTTAAGAATTTATATCCCACTAAACCGGTTTTTCAAACTATAGATTTTGGCCCACCATAAGTCATGAAATCAATTTAGTGTATCACAATCAACATTCTTTACAAAGATAAATAGAATATAATAAATAGAAATAGCAGAGTACATCATAGTAACAGTAATTATTACTTTGTGAAATTACTATTACATTTATGTGTACATGCACACCCATGTATATACTCATAGTAAGCTGCAATCTAATCATATTTGTAAGTACAGATTGTGATCTAAGTTTGAACAATACTGCATTAAAACATATTTTTCCTTAAGACATATTTTGGTGCTTCTCCTCCCCATCCCACCCCCCAAAAATTGTGGCTAACGAATAGTTAGCTAGTTGTTTACTAGCTATAAGATTTAAAACCTGGATTATTTTCCCCTTTCATTTAATTTTGATGACTGCATTATGAAATAATTTGTTTTCAAAAGATTATGAGACTTTCACTTACATAAGTATTACCTTTCAAGTCCCAAGAAATGAAAACATTGCCTCAGGGATAAGGACAAATCAAACAAACAAAAAAGGCCCTATTTACCCTTAAACTCAATGAAGTCACTGTGTTCAGTAAAACAAAATGATATGATAAATTACTTACAAGGGTGATATAATTCTTAGGACAGACCTTCCCAACCAGTCAAGGCACACTGGTGTGGGTTACAGGTAAGTTCTTATGTCACCTTTGGGAAGAAAAAGTAATTTATCCCAGTGTCCTACGCAATTACTTTGCTTATGTAATCAATGAAAAGGTTGGGAAACACTGAGATGTGATGTGCAAGCAATAGTCATACTTCTTTAAACAAGATACATAATAAATCTACACAGACCTAAACAATGTGGCAAAGACTTATGAAGCACCATTTTTGTATTAGTTTCAATTTGGTACACATCTATTTCATCTAAGAAAAATTCTAAGAGCCCAAATACAAAAAAGGAAAAAACAATCTTCTAGGGCTGGAGATGTTGCTCAGCAGTAGAGCTCTTGCCTAGCATGCATAAAGCCCATCTCCAGCACTACAAAGGAAAAAAAGATCATCTCAATTTCAATATATTCAAGAGTCTTCCAAGAAAACTTGAAAAGACAACAGAACAAGACAGTTACCTGACGATAATCTTCTGGTGTGATATGTGGACTGTCATCATCTATAGAATACACAAATACACTGCTCTGAATTTTTTCTAACAAAGTCAAGTTCTCTGGATCAAGGCCAATCAGATATTCTCGTGACTAAAGGGCAAGGAAAGAATGGTTAAATGTTACAATTTAATACAATATATGCAGAAAATCTCAGAAGAGTTTGTTAAAGTTTGGTAAATTAATCTTCCTGTGTGTTGGTGCACTCCTATATTCTCAATTACTTGGAAGTCTGAAGCAGGAGGACTATTTGAGCCCAGGATGTGTTTGAGGTCACAACCTGGGCAGCACAGTGAGATTCTACCTACAAAACAACAAAACTGTAATTACCTTAGCCCATTGGGTTCGCTCCTCGCAAGTTAGTGCTGGTACTCCAGGTCCTTCAGGTTCACTATGGCACTTGTTGTAGATGTATGTCAGTTGTCTTATGGAAGATTAAAAAAAACAAGATTCAAAAAAGGAATAATTTATACTTTGAAAATATGCAAACACTTCTAGGACTCAAGTAAGTCCCTGTTTACAATGGAGAACTTGAAGTCTGGTAATCAGTCTTACAGATATCATGTACATATATTAACTAACCAAAGCCTGTGTGTGTGTGTGTGTGTAACCAGAGGACTTACTGTATATCTAATTCATAGTTGTCTTTTACTCAGAAAAGTCCCATGTAGTAAGTTTTAAGTGTTTTCACATGTGCCATTTGTTACTTCTAACCATTATATTTTAAAGACTCTATTATCTGAGGATAAAATTTTTCTCCCTATAGCATTCTATGCTTCCAATCTGATGAGTTTCATCAATCTTTAAACATATAACAGGTAAATAACAGATTCTTTCATAAAGAGAAAAATTTTCATCAGTCAAAAATTCATAAAACTTTAGTTTTAGTCCTACTTTCTCATGGCCCATGCTAAAAAGTTACCTCAATTTAAGTTTGCAAATATTCCTCAGAAAGCAGTTAATGTAAGCTTAATAAATGGTCAAAAAGCACCACTCAAAATTGGAAAAAACCTAATTCTTAATTTGCCTAAATTCCTGTTTGTTCATTATATCTGTACTTACTGCTGATAAAGAAATAATTTCCTTACTCAAAATTTCCCCACTTTTTGTACATTAATGGTATCTTCTAAAGCACATGAGGATTTCTTCATCAAACAATCTGCATTGATGATGGGGTCAAATTGCCCTGACTCTCTTCCTACTTATTTGTCTTTGCTAAATACTGATTTTTGTGAGCCAGAAACGTAGCTCAGTGGTAGAGCAATCCCTAGAATTTAGGAGGCCCTGAGTTCAATCCCTAGTAACACACACACACACACACACACACACACACACACACAAACTGGTTTTGTTCTAGTTACAAATAAAGCCTGGTAGGCATAGTAACTATCACAAATCCTGAATACTAAAGTAATAAATCTCTATCTCACTGTTTTTCTCCATATGGTACTTGTTGCTGCCCTTCCTTTAACATATCAAAATATTTTGACTACAAAACTTTTTCCTGTTCCCTGAAAGGCTCATTTTCATATTCATTTTATAAGGTGGTCTTTATCAGGGAGCAATGTATTAAACCTAAAATGACATTTTAGGTTTGATAATAAAAGGTCACATTATAACTGCCCTAATCTCTATCACTAAGAGGTACTGATCTCAAAACGAGGATTGTCCCTCTTTTCTTTTAACTTGGCTATCTATGAATGCATTTTTCAACTACACATTCAATTTTTGGTATTTTGAAGCACCAAGATTTACATAAAATTTCTCCACTACAGAATCATATGTCTTTTTAAAAATCTTCTGAATTTGCTGTCTCCTCACAATCTGGTTTCTGCCTTCATCATTTCCCTCTCTCTCTCTTTAGTTCATTGTAATCTGCTTTTGTCCTCCAGCAATTATCATTTGAAGGAGGCTCTAGAGATGGAACCCAGGGTCTCATGCCTGCTAGGTATTTGCTCTACCATTAAACTATATGCAAGCTGTGGTGTTTATCTTGAAACTTCTTTTGTGTCACAAATAACTCCACCAATAGAAACCTTGTTATGGTTTAGATCTGGAATGCTCCCCAAAAGCTCATGAGTTAGGCAATGCAACAATGTTTAGAGATGAAATGCCTGGATCATGAAGGCTCTGACCTCATGAGTGGATTAATCCATTTGATAGATTGATAATTTGAATGGACTGATAATTTGAATGGATTCACTAGAAAGTGGTGAAACTATAGACAGGTAGGGTATGGCTGTAGAAAGTAGGTCACTGGAGGGGTGGCCTTAAGGACTATATCTGCCCCCAGCCCCTTTCTGTCTCTCTTTCCTCTTCCTGGCTGTCATGAATGGAGCAGCTTGCCCTTCTGCCATGATGTTCTGCCTCACTTTAGGCCTAGCATAAAGGAATTGTCTAATCATGAGCAAAATAAACTTTCCCTCTCCAAGTTGTTCTTATTAAGTATTTTGGTTACAGCAATGAAAAGCTGACTAACACAACCCCAGCAGCCTTATCTGTCTTATCTTCTTCATTATGAAATATTCCACACCCAAGAGTGCATCTTTAAATTATCCTTCTGCCTTGATTTTTATAGCACTGTTCTACTATGATCCCCCTACCTCATTGACCAGTCGGCTCAGTCTTTTTTCATTGACTACTGTCCTCCTTCCAGCCTTCCTGTGTCTCCCTTCATATGTAATTTCATCCACTTCTTTAATAGTTTGAACTATCACCTTTATACAAGAGATAATAGGGTCTCTAAATTTAGCCCATTTTCTCTGTTAAAGAAGTTCCAAATACTGCCCGGATATGTCTACCTCAATTTTACCAACATTTTAAACTAAAGATAAATGCAACAGTTATCTCCCCCTCTTCTCACAATTTAAAAACAAAAATCTTAGAAGAAAACAATAGGTATAAATTTTCATATTCTTGGATTACGAAATAATTCCTTAGATATGGCAATGTAATTATAACCAATGAAAGAAAAAATAGACAAAATTGGACTTTGTAGAAATTAAATCATCTGTGTTTCAAGGAGTTCACCAAGAAGGTAAAAAACCCAGAATGGGAGAAAAATATTTGCAGATATACATCTGATAAAGGTGAGTATCTAGAATATAAAGAACTATTACAACTCAATAATTTAAAAAACCAACTAAAAATAAAGTATCTGTTAAAACTTTCTCCAAAGAAAATATATATATATATATATATATATATATATATATATATATATATATATATAAATGGCCAAAAAGCACATGAAAAAAATGTTTAAAATCACTGTGATTATGGAAATGTAAATATAAATCACAATATAATCCTACACCACCCCTACTAAGATTTCTATAATCAAAGGCAGACAATAAATGTAGGTGAGGATGTAGAAAAATCAGAATCCCCCTACACTGCTGATGAAAACATAAAATAGTACAGCCACTTTGGAAAACAGTCTGCTAGTTTCTCAAACAGAGTTTCCATATAATCCAGCAACTCAACTCCAAGGTATATACTCGAGAAATGAAACCGTATGTCCACATAAAAATTTGTATACAATGTTTACTCACATTACTCACAAAAGCCAAAAAGTAGAAAAACCCAAATGCCCATCAACTGATGAATGACTAAATAAAATGTGGTATATACATAAAATGAAACATAATTCAGCCATAGAAAGAAATAGAATACTAATACAGGCTAAAACATATATGAACCTTGAAAGCATTTTGCTAAATGAAGACAGGCAACACAAAACATCACGTTAAAGATTCCATTTATCACATGTTATAAGATCCCATTTATGTGAAATGTCCAAAATAAGCAAATTCTTTGAACAGAAAGTAGACTGGTGATTGTCTAGGGTTGGTGGGGTAGGCATGTTTTGGGATATATGTAAAATAAATAATGGAGGAGGATTAGGAAGCAATGGAGAGCTTATGGGTACTGGATTACTTATGAGGGTGACAAAAATGTTCTAAAACTAACTGTGGTACCACAATTCTATGAAAATACTAAACAATACTGACTTACACTTTAAATGGTATGGTGTGTGAATTATATCTCAATAAAGAGGGTTAAACTCACTGGGGAGTTCTCAGACTTGGATAACGGATAGATATTGGTACCACTGAGGGTGAGAGAACTGTAAAAGGAAGAATAGAGACATGAGAAAAGAAGGTATATCTACCAACACTATGATAAGGCCAGAGTTCTTTTTTTTTTTTAAAGAAAGAGAGAGAGAGAGAATTTTTAATATTTATTTTTCAGTTTTCGGTGGACACAACATCTTTGTATGTGGTGCTGAGGATCAAACCCGGGCCACACGCATGCCAGGCAAGCACGCTACCGCTTGAGCCACATCCCCAGCCCCAGAGTTCTTGTTATTCCTCTTTCATTAGAGATATAGAAATAGAGGAATATTTCTCTTCTATTAAAATTAAGCAACAAGCATAACAAAAACAAACCTGTGTAAGTGAAATGATAAATGGAGGTAACATTTGGTCTCAGTGTAGGGAGTGCTAGGATGGTAGGAAGCTGAATTAAAACATATAATCTGAAATGGCAACTCTAAACTACCAGTGTCCAGCCCAGAGTTGCCATGCATGCCACAGGGCCAGCTGGTATTATTAGAATTTTTATTTTTTTAAGAGAAATCAGAAATCCAAACTTTAATATGAATTCTCCTAATTTTAAATAGTGATCTGAATTCTGTTATCCAAGCAAAATTGGTCACGGGTTAAAATGAGCCCATGAATTACATATATTCAATTTCTGCAAAAGTAGCTCTATGTAATCCAATTAATAAGTCTGATCTAGTAGTTACGTGCCAAATTTGGACCAATCACATTCACCTTCAAATGTTATCTAAATCATAATAGCAAAAGACCAAAAAGATAATTTGCCTACATTAAAATTAACAATATATAATTTCCAAAAAATAATTTTTCAGTTAATGAGAAGAAAATATTTGTTACACATGTAATCGATAAAGGAATAGTATACAGTTTATATAATTGACTTTTACAAATCTATAAGAATAAAATAGGACAACAGGAAAACAGATACACAACTCACAGAAGAGAAAATACAAATGTCCTATAAAGACATATAAAAATGCTTAACCCCCTAATAACAAGGGTTATGCAAATTCAACCAACAATGAAAACCATTTTTCACTTGTGAGTTCACCAGATATGTTTTAAATTTAATAATATCATGACAGCAATAATGTGAAAAAATGGTTATCTTCATATAATACCAGCAGGGAAAATAATGCTGCTTTGGATAATAATTGGACTTAAGTTAAAAACTTTTAAGTGTATATATCTTATGACCCAGAAATTTCAATTCTATATCAACCCATAAGATATTTTCTCCAAAGACACATTTGAAAATGATTATTATTTGTTACAGCAATAAATGGAAACAACTTCCATAAGCACTAATAGAGAAATGATCAAATATACTTTAGTTTATCAATGTGACAGAATTCTATGTAACTGTTTAGAGAATAAGGTAGATGTACCTATACCACTACAAAAATACCACTGCCTTATTAGTAACTAAAAGAAGTAAACTGAAGAAAAATACCTAAAATAACACCTTTTTAAACGTACAACTACCCCTACCTTGTACCACGCACAAAATCAATTCAGGCAAACTGTATAAGTGAAAGGCAAAACAAAATTCTAGAATATAAGGAAATGTCTTCTCGGTATTGGGTTAGGGAACACTTTTTTAAAATAATACAAAAAATATAATCAATATTGTAAAAGACTAACAAATCAGACTACATTTAAATTAATAACTGTTTATAAAATGATGCCTTTAAGCAGCTCAATTCATAATAGCAAAGCTATAGAACCAAACTAGATGCCCTTCAACGGATGGATAAAGAAAATGTGATACACACCTACACATACACCCACACAATGGAATACTACTCAGCCATGAAGAAAAATGAAATTATGGCCAGTAAATAAATGGAACTGGAGACTATCATGCTAAATGAAATCAGCCAACCCCCCAAAACCCAAGGCCAAATGTTCTCTCTGATATGCACATGCTAACTAACACACAATAAGTGGGGAGAAGGAAAGAAGAGAAGTACTTTGGATTAAAATGGGGAATGAAGGGAAGAGAGGAGGGATGGTAGTAGGAAAGACAGTAGAATGAATCCGACATGTTCATATATGAATGCATGACCAGTATAACTCCACATCATGTACAACTATAAGAATGGGATCCTAATTAGAATAAATTATACTTCATGTATGTATATCAATATACATTCTACTGTTATATATAACTAAAAAAATCAAAAATTTTTAAAAATGATGCCTTTAATAGGATAAAAGAGCAATTTTAAGTATATTCTCCTCTTCTGTGTATTGAAATACATAAAACAAAGAACAATCTTATCAAGAATGTATGAAGAACTCCTATGACACTCGTACACTAGTGGAAATTAGTACAACTAATTTTAAAAACTGTCATTATCTATTGATGTTGAATGTGCATATAATCTAAGACTCAGCAAATCCTCTCCTGGGCTTTCCAGAAACGCATGCACACATCCACCAAAGACTTGTATGAGGATTTTTACAGTAGTAAATAATCTAAGTGATTCCACTTAGGAAGGAGGGTAAGCACAGAGATTAGGAAGACGTATAAGAGTGAGCTCTGGAGCACTGGAAATGTTCTGTTTTGACCTGGGTGGCAGTCACCTGAGAATTCAGCTATACATTTGTGTGTGTGCTGGCAGGTACTTTGTGTGTGTGCTTCCAAGGTACTTTGGAAGGATATTCTAACAGGACAATGGAAAGGTCCTGACCCAGTAATTGTCTGGAGTCGGCGGTCTGTTTGTGTGTTTCCACAGGGAGAACAGCAGCCGATTTGGATTCCAGAGAGATTAACCAAGGTCCTGACCCAGTGATTGTCTGGAGTCGGGGGTCTGTTTATGTGTTTCCACAGGGAGAACAGCAGCCGATTTGGATTCCAGAAAGACTAACTAAAGCGATTTCTACAGACCAAAAAGATGATGATTTGGCTCAAATCCATAACAACTGATATCCAAAACTCCAGTTTGGCTATTCTTACATCTGCAACAGAACCAGGATGCTTTTTTCAATATCTATTTTATTATTGCCCTTTGCCATATCATGAAGTTCTATTTTGTTTTTTGAGCTCATACAGACCTAGGTTAATGTTTTGCTGATCAGTTCTATTTTTTGACTATAGAGTTTTTAAGCATTGCAATGGAGATTTCACCTGTAAAAAGTTATAAGGCCTTTACTATAATGTTATGTGTTGTATGTATTATATTATGTGTGCACACTTGTGTTTTGTGTTATATGTTTGAATGTACGTATGTCCATATATCATATATGATGAGCGCTCATGATAAAATGGATCCAAATATTTTTTTTTCACGTGATTTATATGGTTTAATTTAAATTGGGTAAACAACTGTTGAGGATTGTTTTAATATGTAAACAAAAAAGAAGGTTAACAGATCTGTTTGTTTACTTTCACCTTTCCTTTTCATTATATTTAATAATTCTCTCAAAGATAATGTAAATTGTTAAGAAAATTGTTTTCTTTTAGTGCCTTCTGGAATGTTACATAATTTTTTCTTTAGCCATTATTGCCAGAATTCCTATCTTCATCCCAGTGCTGGTGAAGTCAAAGATAAAACCAATCTACAGCTTCTACAATAGCCATCACTGAACTGCTTGCAGAACTTGCCTGGACACATTGTGAGCTCACCTGTATGCATTGTGAACTATCTGTTGGTGCAGCGACTTGTGGTAGTGTTGGGGTATTTTTGCTGATGATGTCACCGGTGGTACAATTTTTCAAAGGAGCCCTCAATTGGCTTAATGTCATGGCATTTTGCATCCTCCTCTACTAGTGATGGTCTAAAATTTGGGGGCCAACAGAGGTGAGGCAAAGAACCTCACCCCCCCACAGGTGCAAAGGCCTATCCACAAGTATGGCTGTATGCTGGACCGGTAGTCAGTGACGGGTATGATCCAATTGCAGTGGTACCAACCTAAGACAGGAGGCTGACGCCTAGAGGTCAGTTCATCCGATGACAGGTAAGGACCATATGTTGAATTGGACTGCCTAACAGGCACGGTCCCTAAGCCACATGCTTGTTGTTTAAACAGAGAGGAGGAGATGTTGAGAGCCACAGCCAAAGGGGCCCCAGCAAACTTCCAGCTGCCAGCATGTGTGCTTTTGTAAGCTTATTTATTTAGTTAGCTTAATTATTTAGTAAAAAAAAATTCAAATTATATATATAGATAGTTACATAAATATGACTCAATAGTTATAAAATCATCTAGGAAATTTGAATAGCCTATTAAATATTAATAATATTAAAGAATTATTGTTAACTTATTACAAGACAACATCAGGTTTGAGAATGGTACTAGATGTGAACTATTCAAGAATCTTTATATTTTAGAAATATATACTAAAAGATTTATAATTAAAGGATATTATATCTGATATTTTCTTCAAAATAATCCACATGGGAGTGAAGGGAAGAACACAGATAGTTGAAACAATGCTAAATGACTTTATAACTGTTAAAACTAGGAGTAAGTAACACTAAAGTTAGGGGATGGGTGTGTGGGGGGTCTTCATTATATAATTCTATATTTTAAATTTTTCTATAATTTATTCCAAAAATGTATGCATACTATATATGAATTATGTGTATGTATATGTATATGTGTGTATATATATATATATATATATATATATATGTATATATACACACACACACAAAAAAAAAAATATATATATATATATATACTATATATAAAATATATATGTTCTCTTTTTTAAAATGATATGTGCATATAAATTTATTGTAACAGATCTGGAAGGACAGAACATAAAAACTAGTATTATTTGGGGGCAAAACTAGTGTAATTTGGGGGTAGGGAATGGGATTGGTAGTATCTGCAATGTTTCTTTTTTCTCAAGTGGAACATATTCATGTACATCTAGTAAAATTAAAAATTAAAATTAAAAACAAAGAATAGATTTTTTAAAAATATATATACACATATAAAATTCTTACTTTTCAGCTTTCTGACACCTCATAGAAAGACAAGTTTCAACATTTGTTTTTTTAACCTAAATAACAGCTTAAGATCTAATGAGATTCAAGACAGTCATGTGAAAACCTGAGAAGCTCTGGTGGGGTGATCAAACATCCTTCATGTGTTACATCAAAGACAAAAATTCGGCCCCGACACAACACTGCAATGTGACTTGGGGAATGCCCTTCACTTTCTGGAAAAAAGAAACAGAAAACACAAGACTCAAATCTCCCAAAGTTAAACAGTAGTAAAGCTGTTTATATCCAATAGAAGAAAATAATCATTCACTTATATATTTGTCAAATACATCACATGAATAAAAACAACTTGCAGGGGAAGGGGGAGGTTCAACAATGAGTACTAAATTACAGTCAGATAAGGGTAAATCCTGGTGTGCTATTCATTGCACAGTAGGTAACTACTATAGATAATGATTGAGTACTCTGTATTGCAAAAGTCAAAGGGATTTTGAATGCTTTTGCCATAAAAAAAGATAGATGTTACAGGAGACAGATATATTTAATCTGATTATACAAAATATACATTTATTGATATATTGCATGGTAGTCCATTACTATGTACAATTTTTGTTTTTTAACATATCAGGCAAAAAAATAATTTCAAAAAACTCTGTAAGTTCATAGAATTTCAGTTATTATGATATAAATATATACTCTTGAAACTTGTCCATGTGACATCTAGAAATCCATGAAAGTTTCAAGTATTTGTACATTCTGAGAATCACATAAACCCCAAACTATTATAGGGCTTTCTAATTTTGTTCAGGGACAGGAATGTAAGGGTAAGAACGGAAACAGAGACATGTGTCTCTTTAAAATTATTTTAACGTTAATTACTAATCAAATAATTTAGTTGTAGTGATGTCTAGCAATGATTCCCCAGTAAAATAGTTTTCAGTTCCAGATGCAGTGGTACATACCTGTAATCTCAATCACACGGGAGGCTAAGGCAGAAGGAGCACAAGTTCAAGGCCAGCCTCAGCAAAGTAGTGAGGCCTTAAGCAACTTAGTGTCTCAAAATAAAAGAGGCTTCAGATGTATCTCTGTGGTAAAGCTCCCCTGGGTTCAATCCCCAATACCAAAAAATAAATAAATAAAATGGTTTTCAGTAGAAAAGGGCACTAGATGCCTGAGCGGCAAGGGGAAAGAATTTTGCCTAATCTGTAGTTTTACTTAAGGCTCTGATAACCTAAGTCACTGATAATTGATCTAAGATTCCTGTGGTATACCTTAACTCCCCAAGAATTGTTTTATCTACTGTAAACTTCAGACTACCCTGAGTTATCCCCATTTTTAAAGTATTCCCTCCTTTACTAAGGGTCTTCCTATATGATCCCTGCCCCATCCCTTCTTCTAAGAAAGGAAAAAGAAGAAAGAGAAGACATATACTGCCACTGGAAGGAAAATTACTGGTTGGTATTAAGTGCATTACACACATCACTTGTTAAATCTATTCATTCTAAGGAAGCACCATCTCCTGAAAAGAACTACTATTTTTCCCCTTAGATCCTATTTCCTCAAGACCTGGAAGATGAAGTATGTATTTGCTCCTCATGGCATGTCCCAAATCACTTCTTCTCTGGCCCTTCAAAAAACCTAAAGATCCTTTTACATTAGCACCACTTTTATTGCTGGCAACTACTGATCATATCCTTTCCAAAATTTAGGGCTGAAAAAGAAAAAATAAAATAAATCTGATGTCAAATGATCCAATAAATGGTTGGAAATGGAGCTGGAACAGAAGGGTGGAACCTCAGAATGAACCTGAGAAGAAATATTTAAACAGAGAACTGAGTAAAGAAAGAATGTGAGCCTGGAAATTGCAGGAAGAGAGAACCTTGCAGAAGAAACAGCAAGAGTAAAGGTATTAGGACAAAAGCAAGGGGATTTGCTTAAAGGAAAACAAGGTCAGTGCAATTATCAGCCAATTATCAGGACAGTAATAATGGGATCTAACTAATACTAACTATTACTCTAAAAGGTTACTTTAGCTGCTACATGAAGAATAACAGATAATAGGGGAAAAGAGATGATACAGCCAGATTAGTTATGAGATAACTGAAGTGGTCCAGATAAGAACTCTAGGTAAGAGGGCATGTTGGTTTTGACAGGGGTGTAACAATTGAAGGAAACAAGAGACGAATTATTTTTCTTTTAAGATGAAAGACATTCAGATTGAAATGATCCAATAAAGAAAAAACTGATGATGCAGCAGAGAGAGAGGATAATGACTAAGCAAAAGTGGAATTCAGAACACAAATAGAAGAGATGTCCTCAGGAGTCAGAACAGTTCATCTATTTTATCTTTTTTTTTTATGGAAGATAAAGTATATAAATGTGCAAGGGAATAGAAGATGAGTAAATATTTGAATAAGTTTTTTATGGCTGCTTTAACAAATTACCACTAACTTAGTGGCTTGAAATGAAACAAACTGATTATCATATAAGTCAGAGGGTGACAAGTCTGAAACGTGTCTTATTCCAGCAGGGTTGTAGTTCTCCTAGAGGCTCGATATCATTTCCATAACATAATATTACCCATCTTTTCAACTTTTTTTTTTTAATCTCCCACCGCACACCAAAACTTGCTTTTGCAAGCAGTATTTCCAAATGTCACCACTTCATTAATTCATTTTCATCTCTTCCAGATGGGCTTCCTTCCCCAACTTCCACTAAAACTGCTCTTGTCAAGGATGGTCTCTGTCCACATCATCTTGATAGATCAATGGTCACATTTTCACCTCATTTGACCCCTCAGGAGCATTAGATAAAACACTTCCTCCTCTTGACTTCTAGTAGACCAATGTCTTTGTTTCCTTCCTCCCTGTCTTGGTCTCCTTTGCTGGCTCCTCTGACAAGCAAATATTATGTTGGATTGTGATAAAGATCAATAGTGGTTCCCTTGATCATCTTTATTTATGTATGTTTCAAAAGTAATCTTAACTACTTTTATGATTTTAGAAAAAAATTCTAGGCCTGCTAATGATGGCTCCTAAATCCATATCTGCAGTCCTGAATTCTCAGAACTCCAAACTGTACCTCCAACTGCCGATTTACATTTCCACTTACATGTTTAAAAGCCATCTTAAATTCAACATAGTCTAAGGGACCTCTTGATTTTCCTCCCTAAAATTTGTCCTTTCAATTTTTACCACCTTATGAATATACACACAACCTACAAATTTGATGAGTCTATCTGAACATTCACCTCAGTAGTTATTCAAGGCTTTTTTTTTTTTTTTTTAATGAGGGTATCTTGTCATGGCCCAGTTAGCTCAGCTGGTTAGAGAAGGGTGCTAATAAGAGAGGATCCTGCTAAGTCACCTAGACTAGCCTTGAAATCCTAGGCTCATGCAATCTTCCTACCTCAGTTTCCTTGGTAACTAGAAAGACAAGCACATGTCACCATACCCGGCTATAAGCAAAATACCTTAAAGTCATCTCTGATTTCTATTTTTCACTTATACTTATTACCAATCTTTAGCTAATTCTGTTAGTCCCAAATCCAAAACATATCCAGAAGTGGATAACTTTTTACCACCTTCTTGCAACCACCTAGTACACGTCCTTATTATGGCTCAAATGAACTACTATAACAACTTTCTAACTGGTGTCTCTGCTATTGTACTTGTCTCCTAAAATTCCATTCTTCAAATAGCAGGTAGAATAATCTTTTAGTAACATAAATCTGATATCACTCTCTTTCTCAAAATCCATTAATAACTACGTACTGTGGCACATACCACAGTGGGAGGCTGAGGAAGGAGGATCACAAGTTTGAAGCCAGCCTGGGAAACTTAGTGAAACTCTGTCTCAAACTAAAATAAAAAGGGAAGCTCAGTGATAGAATGCTATTGGTTTAAATCCCCAGTTTCACCAAAAGAAAGAAAAAGTTTCTATTTACATTTCAAATAAAAGTCAAAACCTTTTTATCTTGGTTTATAAAGTACTAGATGAACTAGCCTCTAGTTCCCTTTTGAATCTGCCCCTCTCTTGCCTGCTCTGCTCTATCCTTAATACCCTTAGAACACACCAAGTTTATTCCCACCTATAGCATTTTTAACAAAAAGTTAAAAACAAAAATTAAAGAAAAAGTGAAAAAACATGCTGATTCATCATCATTCAGATCCTCAGAGAAACCTTCCTTGACTACCTAATCTAAACAATTACACAGTGATTCATTTTATTTGAATTTTCTGTACATTATTTACCATTAACTGTCTGACATATTTTCACATTAACTTATTACCTTTGCTTTACCTATCTTCACCTCTTTACATAGCTATAAGTCCAAGAATACAACAATCATGATAGCTTAAAACACTGCATTGAGACACATTATTAAGCTAATGAATCCCCATTTGACACACATTAACTCAAAAGAGTTACCTTATTTAAAGACATGCCTACTAAGTAACAAAGACCAAATTCAAAAACAGGTCACTGATCTCAATTTCTTAACTGATATGTATATTTTCTTTCTTTACTGGTTATTATTCTTACATCAGTTTTCATCTGTTCACCTTTTCCACTATGTAACTAAGTACCATAAATAAACCCACTTTCCTAATCTTTCCTGTTAATTCTTTTACTTGCAACATCCAAGGTAAATGTGTGGAGGCTTGAGCACATTAAGCATCTCAAATATCTAGAAAGATTTTCAAAGAGGAGGTGAGTTCTATACAAAAGGAAACTTAAACCTTCATATTATGAGTGCAACTAACTATAAAAGTTTACTCTTAAAACTTTATGAAAAAAAAGTCCATTCATAATTATACTCTACTATAATTATAAACAGTCATTAAAGCAATAAAACATAAAAATTCCTAAAGTAACTAGAAGACAGCAGTTGCCACAAAAGAATTTTCCATTTGAAGATATGCTAGAACACCAAGAAGAAATTGCCATCAAATGACAGTAAAAACAAAATTTTGATGAATCAATCTGAACCTGTGTGCCTCCAAGAAGCATGATTCCAGGTAACAGTTAAAGGGGCAGGGGAGGGAAGAGTATATTCACAAAGGAAACTGGAACATCATGGGCACATACAAGCAAACATTCAAGACAATTCAGATAAGGAATGAGGGTACAAAAAGAGGTATACAGAAACCTTCCTATGCTCCATGACTTCCTTAATACTCATTCATAACTTTGTTCTTCAATTAAATATTTTAAATTCTCAAATGATGCAACAAAAGCATCAGGTTTATATTCAATCATGCATGACAGTTTAGAAAATTAATTCCCTTATATTACATTCAAACTAATCAGAACAAATCAAAGACAAGGTTCATGGAAAGCCTTTGATTTGTCAAAGACCAATAAGAAACATTTTTCAAAACTGTGGGTTCCAGTGTCACTGTAGAAATCACAACAAAATTATCAATATCCCAATGCTTTTACCAAAAAAAAAAAAAAAAGTACCTGTGTTTTTACTTACCAGTCCTAAAATAGTTTATAATTGAATCTCTAGTAATTCCTGGAACTTTGCAGGTAGAAAATAGCATTCGAAATTGATTCATATCTAGAGGAGTATTTCCAACTTTATGAACAGGCAGTTTTTCTCTATTTAAAAAAAAAAGTATTTTGATCAAGAAGCCATTATTAAACTTATAAATCAAACCATCACAACTGTAGTATTTATTATTCCCCAAATAAAAATTTTCAACATTTTGCCAATTGATGTTTGAGGTACATTTGTTACTAAATTCATATAAGTATCCTTACTTTCTTATTAGCTGCCAGTAGTTCAAGTTATGCCAAAGGATTATACTTCCTCTTTCTAACTGAGTGCCTTCCTTTGGAGGCCAATAGTGTTCAAAATGGGCAGAAGGACCAACAAAGTTGACATTTAGCTGTGATGGTATACGAACATCCAGGTAAACAACATTCAGCCACCATTCTTCAAGCTAAAAGAAATTAAAATTATCAGCCTAATGTTTTTCATAGTACTCAAATGTGGAATCGCTGACACCCCCCACACACAAAAAAGAAAAGAAAGAAAAAGCTACATTGTTCTTTATTTATTCTATACCACTTTAAAACATGGTTTTTTGTTGTTGTTGTTGTTGAAATCATCATAGATATTGAAAAATGCTACTATGATCATTTTTTTTTGGACTTATAAGATCCAAAATATTATTTGTTTAAACACATTATCAAAAACATGAAACAAGAAAGCATAGAAAAGGCACCTTCAGAGGGACTATCATGTTGAAATCACAGTATCGAACCAAGCACTTAGTTGTTTCCTCAGAGTACCTGAGGTATAATGAATATCACTAAATCCTCACCAAATGATAACAGTTATTAGGAAATTTAAATTTTCCATTTCTAAACAAAAATAGATATTAAGTCATAAATTTAAAAAACACTTTCAGGCCGGGTGCGGCCACGCCTGTAATCCCAGTGACTCCGAAGGCTGAGACAAGAGGATCACCAGTTCAAAGCCAGCTTCAGCAACGGTGAGGCGCTAAGCAACTGAGACCTTGTCTCTAAATATGATACAAAAAACGGCTGGGGATGTGGCCCAGTGATGAGTTCAATCCCCAGTATCAAAAAAAAAAAAAAAAAAAAAAAAAAACACCCCACTTTTCAGTAGGCTTAAAATTAATTTAGATTTGTCATAGAAAATTCTGTGTGTCCTTCTTTCATAATATGCAATTGAATTTCATGCATAAGCAGATCTTATTAAATTGTTATTTCTTTTTAAAGAAACTGATGTTATAAACTATAATTAGTACTTCAGAAAAAGGCCTACAAAAAAAGGAACTGGCAGAACAACTTCTTTACCTTCATCTCACTTTAATTAAAAAAATCCAAGGCTCAAAACTGACAAACTCATCCTTTATTTCATATATTAAAGAAGTGAAGTAGATAACTGAAAGAAGTCAAAGATTCCTTGTGGAAAATTATTGAGGCCCTCAATAGAAACTCTTCCCTCAATATACCTCACTGAAATAAAAAATATTCATAACTGTTCTCTTCTCCTTTTCTCCCATGAAGTGTTTAAATATGTCTATGCCACTTATGTAACATGTCTATTTTAGTCCTTTTCAGGAAGTTTTCAGGCTATAGTTACCTGGAAAAAATGTTTTTTCTCAAGCATGGCCTATAGATAGCCTGTTATCAGAACGGCATGGAATAGTTGCTCAAATAAGGATTTCTGGGCCCCTTTCCACATATACTGAATCAGAATCACTGTTTCCAGAAAATCTGCATCTTTAACAAGTTCTCACATAAGATAGGGGACCACTCATAACACTCAAAACTCCCCAGTTAAACGATTTACATTCCTTTGGATAATCATAATGATAACAATGACTGCAAGGATTATACAACAATAATTTAAAAACAAAAGTTATACCCATTTTCAAATTTCCTTCTTCAAAGATCATCATTATTCATTATAAACATACTAAAATAAATACCCAATTTCTTTTTCCTTTTGCCCTTTCAAGTAATTTCTGATGCAATTTTTCTCCAACTCCATTTTGAAATATTCGGACTATTTCTTCAGTTTTCTTATATTCTTCTTCATTTGCAAATGGCTTTACTATAAAGAAAAATGTGATTAAGGCATTTAGACCTCAAGTACCACCAAATTACCTGAATCACTACATACACATATGTAATTAGTACATACTACATATGTAAAATACAGTATTAACACTGCAGTATAATAAATTATAATAGGAGTTGACAAAATGAAAATGACTAAAAAGCAACAATGCAAAATACTGTAAAAATTACAATGAGAGATATTATGTACTCTAATAACAATTTTCTGAAATTATTTTAAAATCATTCTAGATGATAGTTAAAATTATGAGGTGGGACTATCATCTAGTTATCAGTCCAGTTGAAAGTAAATCGTACTTAACCACAAATTGGAGAAATTAAAGCATCTTTCCATTAATGTTCACATTGGAGCCTTGATCATTAATATATGTAATACAAAATGTATGTATGTATGTATAAGTATAAATCCTACCCAGAGCAGTTTAGAGTGCCTCATGACTAAGGGAAATATTCCATGAAAACCAAATGTTCTGAAATAAAGCTATAAAGTTAATTAGAGATCATGAGACATTAATATCTTCTTTCTGTTTGATTTTTGCCTCTGAAATCTTATCAGGCAAACTGCTAAAGCCAACTTAGATTCAGAGAGAATATAAGTCAATAATCAAAAGTGGAATAATAATAAATAAATTTTAAAAAAAATTTATATTTTAGTTGTAATTGGACACAATATCTTTATTTTATTTTTATGTGGTGCTGAGGATCGAATCCAGGGCCTCACACACGCTAGGCGAGGGATCTACCACTGAGCCACAATCCCAGCCCATAAATGAAATTTTTTAAAAAATAAGAAATTAGAATTTTCAGATGAAAGTAGGTGAGGGATAAAGAAATTTTTTCCTGTATATCAGCGACAAATCCTCTGAAATGGAAATGAGGACAACCACTCCATTCACAATATCTTCAAAAAAAATAAAATACTTGGGAATCAACCTAACAAAAGAGGTGAAAGATTTATACAATGAAAACTACAGAACCCTAAAGAGAGAAATAGAAGAAGATCTTAGAAGATGGAAAAATATACTCTGTTCATGGATAGGCAGAACTAACATCATCAAAATGGCGATATTACCAAAAGTTCTCTATAGGTTTAATGCAATGCCAATCAAAATCCCAATGGCATTTCTTGTAGAAATAGAGAAAGCAATCATGAAATTCATATGGAAAAATAAAAGACCCAGAATAGCAAAAACAATGCTAAGCAGGAAGTGTGAATCAGGCGGTATAGTGATACCAGACTTCAAACTATACTACAGAGCAATAGTAACAAAAACAGCATGGTACTGGTACCAAAACAGGCGGGTGGACCAATGGTACAGAATAGAGGACACAGAAACCAATCCACAAAACTACAACTATCTTATATTTGATAAAGGGGCTAAAAGCATGCAATGGAGGAAGGATAGCATCTTCAACAAATGGTGCTGGGAAAACTGGAAATCCATATGCAACAAAATGAAACTGAATCCCTTTCTCTCGCCATGCACAAAAGTTAATTCAAAATGGATCAAGGAGCTTGATATCAAATCAGAGACACGCCGTCTGATAGAAGAAAAAGTTGGCTACGATCTACAGTTGGTGGGGTCGGGCTCCAAATTCCTCAATAGGACACCCATAGCACAAAAGTTAATAACTAGAATCAACAAATGGGACTTACTCAAACTAAAAAGTTTTTTCTCAGCAAAAGAAACAATAAGAGAGGTAAATAGGGAGCCTACACACTGGGAACAAATCTTTACTCCTCACACTTCAGATAGAGCCCTAATATCCAGAGTATACAAAGAACTCAAAAAATTAGACAATAAGAGAACAAACAACCCAATCAACAAATGGGCCAAGGACCTGAACAGACACTTCTCAGAGGAGGACATACAGTCAATCAACAAGTACATGAAAAAATGCTCACCATCTCTAGCTGTCAGAGAAATGCAAATCAAAACCACCCTAAGATACCATCTCACTCCAGTAAGATTGGCAGCCATTATGAAGTCAAACAACAACAAGTGCTGGAGAGGATGTGGGGAAAAGGGTACACTTGTACATTGCTGGTGGGACTGCAAATTGGTGCAGCCAATTTGGAAAGCAGTATGGAGATTTCTTGGAAAGCTGGGAATGGAGCCACCATTTGACCCAGCTATTCCCCTTCTCGGTCTATTCCCTAAAGACCTAAAAAGAGCATGCTACAGGGACACTGCTACATCGATGTTCATAACAGCACAATTCACAATAGCAAGACTGTGGAACCAACCTAGATGCCCTTCAATAGACGAATGGATAAAAAAATGTGGCATTTATACACAATGGAGTATTACTCTGCATTAAAAAATGACAAAATCATAGAATTTGCAGGGAAATGGATGGCACTAGAGCAGATTATGCTAAGTGAAGCTAGCCAATCCCTAAAAAACAAATGCCAAATGTCTTCTTTGATATAAGGAGAGTAACTAAGAACAGAGTAGGGACGAAGAGCAGGAGAAGAAGATTAACATTAAACAGGGATGAGAGGTGGGAGGGAAAGGGAGAGAGAAGGGGAAACTGCATGGAAATGGAAGGAGACCCTCAGGGTTATACAAAAGTACATACAAAAGGAAGTGAGGGGAAAGGGAAAAATAATACAAGGGGGAGAAATGAATGACAGTAGAGGGGGTAGAGAGAGAAGAGGGGAGGGGAGGGGAGGGGAGGGGCGATAGTAGAGGATAGGAAAGGCAGCATAACACAACAGACACTAGTATGGCAATATGTAAATCAATGGATGTGTAACTGATGTAATTCTGCAATCTGTATATGGGGCAAAAATGGGAGTTCATAACCCACTTGAATCAAAGTGTGAAATATGATATATCAGAAATTTGTAATGTTTTGAACAACCAACAATAAAAAATTAGTCTTGCTCATAAAAAAAAAAAAAGATTATAAACATACCCGATTCAAGGTATTTTTTTAATGATTCTTCAAGTGAAGGAACAGGCAGTGATGGAAGAGAATCCTGGTACTGAAATGTTCGTTCTTCGATTGATTTAGCCAGTTGATTTTCCATGATATAGTCACAATAGGAAACCTAAAGAAAAAAGAGACAGCACTCACAAATTCAATCTCATAAATATTCTTATATATGCTAGGCCCAATTCATTTAACCAATATTTCAGGGTCAGACTGTATCTAAGACTTGATCCCACTCTGTGGAATTTACAAGCTTGTCAGATAAAGAAAGTCAAAAAGTATTGCAGTATGTGCCAGGTATTGCTTTGCATATGTAAAGTCCTGGGTTCAATCTCCATCACCACCAAAAAAAGAAAAAAGTATACTCCTTGAATTTTGAACCTCCTTGTACCCTCTCCCCATTCAGTTCCCAAAACACTGGTTTATGTCCTCTAGGCAAGAAATAGGAGGAGTTGGGGCTGGGACTATGGCTCAGCGGTAGAGCACTCACCTAGCACATGCAAGGTGCTGGGTTCGATCCTCAGCACCACATAAAAATAAATAAATAAAGATTATGTCCAACTACAACTAAAAAAAATTTTTTTTAAAGAAAAGAAATAAGAGGAGTCCTCTTTGGGGAAAGCCTAATCAGATATGAAAACGTGTATCATCTCCCTAATCTTCTTATCTCTGAAAAGTGACATTCTCTGCAATTTTAACATATGAAAAAATAATACACAGAGAGATTTAGTAATCAGCCTAAGAGATTATGCCTAGAACTGTAACCCAGATCTATTAGACTGCAAATTTCCCCTGTACAGGATAGGAAGCATGGTAGCGGGTGAGGAAGTGTGTAGAAAGTATTGATGGGTGGATGGGGTTTGATGTTTAGAAAAGGCTTATGTGCTGAAAAAGAGAACTTTGAGGAGCACATGAAGGGGTGTGGAAGAGTTGCTCAACTATAGAATTACAGAATACAAAAAATAAATAAATAAATCATATGACAAACTGCTGTAAGTTGTGAAGATGGTGTAAGGCCTACTCAGAATGGTTTCAAATATTCCAAAGCAATCTTGAATGTCTTCCACACATGTATTAATTTTCATCATATAAATCAAACTAAACCAAAAATATGAATAAGGTCTACATACAAGTGCTAAATTTAAAAATGACATTTCTCAAAGAAGACTTTATATATAAATTACATATTAAAATAGTAACTGAGAAAACAGGAGTATTAATATTGAATAAGAATTTTCTATCCTTTCAAATAAACAGCAAAGCAAAACAAATATTCCACTTAGATGTCACAAAATTAAATAGTATCAAAAACAAAGGCACAGCAGAAATTTTTTTTCAGTCAACATCCTTTCCCCTTTGAATCCTGAGTTTTAGCTGGGCATACAGCCACCCAGTTATATTTCTCCTATTCTCCCATGGAGCTCAGTGTGGCCTTGTGATATATGTTATCTCCAAGTCATAACCCTAAAAAGGACTGCATGTGTTCTTTCATGTTTCCTCCTCACTGCCCATCAGGGAATGTCAACTAGAACAACGCCTTGGACCCATTTATGGAAGCCATTTGCTGAGGTTGTCAGAAGCACCCTATTAGCATGGACTCCTATCTCTAGATGTATCAAAAAAAAAAAAAAAATGCTGGGCATGGTGGCACATGCCTGTAGTCCCAGCTACTCAGGAGGCTGAAGCAAATGGTTTGCTTTAGCGGAGGAATTCAAGGCCAGCCAGGCAACATAGCTCTCAAACCAACAACAAAAATCTCACGACTTTTGTTTTATTCATGCCATATCTTGGGTATTGTTTTGTTTTTTTTATGAAGAAGAGCTATCTATACCATTAATATAAAGAGATAATTTGAAAGTGAAGTATAACAAAGATCTAATAGTTCCTCTCATTCTTCTTTTCTAATGACTTCAGTTACACATTGTTCTGAGCACCCAAAAAGGCTCTGAACCTAATGAAAAATGTAGATCTGGGTCCAAATAGAATAAGCCACCTTCTAGCCATGTGCTCTGAGGCAAATAACTTTAACGAATTTCCTTATCATAGACTGTATTTTAAATGCCCGAAAAAGTACATTATAAAAATAATCCAGCTGAAGCTGGGTCCAGCTGCACAGTGCAACACTGTAATTCCAACTACTCAGGAGGCTGAGGCAGGAGGATCACAAATTCAAGGCCAGCCACCAATTCAGCTGGAAATAACCATATGCAGAATTTCTCTAAATGACCTCAAATTTCAGCTCTTCTAATCTCCAGACCTGTGAATATGGGATCACTATTTCTGTAACTGTAATTTGGTTATCATCTACAGAACATCTGACCATAAAACAGGGATACTGTTCAGGTGGACCTAATCGGATCACTTGAGTCCTCTGAAGCAGAGATCCTGGCGCTGACTTTGAAGATGTAGGTGGCCTCAAGGGGGATACATAGGGCTGACAGACAGTAAGAAAACGGAGTCCTCAGTACTATAAGCACAGTGGAAATCAATTCTGCTAACAACCTGAATGAATCTGGAAGTGGATTCTCCCCAACAGCCTCAGAAAAGAACTCAGACCTGCAGAAACCTTGATTTCAACTCTGTACAGTTTCTATGCAGAACACCCAGCTAAATTCACTGAAGTCTTTCAGATCTACAGAAGCTGTGAGTAATACATTTATGATGTTTTAATTGTTCAGTGTGTTGTAATTTGTTATTGCAACAATAGGAAACTATTACAGAGAAGATGCAGAGAAACACATGCAGAGAAGATATTCTCTGTACACCTCCCTGCTACTTAATAGATTCTAGGAAACTGGGAACAAGAGTACTAATTTCAAACTCACTACAGTGCTTAACTCACCAACAGGTAACAATAATATGAATTATCAGATTCTTTCTTTAAAGAGTGATCTTGAATTCCCAATCACAAAGATTAAGCTAAATAATATAATTTGAATAGCACTACGAAAATGACGTTGCTGGATTTTAGAGAACCAGGAACAATAAGTAAAGGAACAGACTGTCACATACCAGTATACCAACATGAACTTTTTAAGCCTACCAGTTGCAACAATTTGTTTTGAGACCACGAGCATTTGAATTAAGTTTGTGACTATGGGAAGGAAGAAACAAACTTAACAAAATCTTCAGAGAAATTAACAAAAGCTGGTGAAAGAAGGTGGAGGGCAGACAGACAATCTAGGAGGAGAAGGGAGACTCCAAGACTCAACTTTTTGTGAACCGCTGCAAACTCACGCAGAAACTTTGTCTGTCTGCTGCAGAGGATTAAATTTCTATAAAATCAACTAGGTTTCGGGAAACTGCACCTTCCATTAGATGGGTCCACCGAGACTCAAGATACCTTCCTGTGCCCGTATCTGTGCCAGCAGCCCGTCGCAGGACCTCAGGAGGTCAGAGCAGCAGCAGAGGGCAAGGAAAGCTTAGAGACTCCTCCCACCAACCCAAGGGCAGCTCTGCACACTCAAGAAGACACCAAGTCACAGAAATCCAAGCAAGCACCACGACGGACCAGCTCAGTGGCCCAGCCTCAGGGGTACCGCTTCAGACGCCGACAGGCGAGATGCAGGAGGACACCACACCCCCGCTGACCCCCAGCACCTCTGCAGTTCAAGGCGACCTAACTTTGTCCTAAACGACTCAACTTTCTCCCGCCCCTGAGCTGCCGGACTAGGAGAGGGAGGGAGTGGTGGCTCCGCAGGCCTCCCAGCCATCCTCACCAACCGAGCCTCGCCCTGGGTTCCGCTCCCGACAGCTGCGCCGCTCTACTCGCTGTGCGCCGCAGAGGAGCGGGAATTGGACGCAAAGCCAAGAGGGTCCCGCCCCGCGCGCGCCGGGGAACGGGATTGGACAGAAGGCCTCCACGGCCCCGCCCAGTGCATGAAGTGGGGGACCCACTGGGCCTGCGCCGTGCAGGGACTCGGCCCCGCCTGCCTCGAGCGTTCTAGGCCTGGGTTAAGTTTCTGGGCTGCGGTCCTGGGAAAGACTTGCCTCGCACCGAACTAGCTCCCGAAGTCCGCGCAGCCTCGGTGACCTGCCCGATGCTGTGGGAGCTCGATGCCCCGACGCCCCGACCTGAGTTATCTGGGGAATCGCTCTCTGCCCACGGAAGGACTCAGCCTCCTGGAAGACACTGAAACTGATGGCTCAAACCTGTTTACACCGGCTTCTGCTTGACGCCGCGCCCAGTTTCCCTCACTCTTTTTCTTGCGCGCCCGGTTGCTCTCCTCCCTTTTCCCAGGGCGATGCTTTTTGCATCACCCAAGCAAAGAACTCAGACCAGGGTTTTAGAAAGGAATTTCGTTGTCCGCCCTGTGTTCTGGCAAGAGCACGGTGACCACACAGATCCCTCCTTGGCCTCTTTCCCTTCATCTCTGAGGCTGAAGTTTGTCCAAGCTGCAACACTATACCATCCCGGTTTCCTGGCCCTGCTGCACTTTTCAACGTCCTTGAAGGCACCAGGGATGTTCACAGGGCAAACTTGGGGCTTATCTGATGTTTCTATTATCGTGCCAAGAAATGGAATTTTTAACCAGAACAGAGCTGGACAAATTCTAGCTGAAGAGGTGGTTAATGTAGTTTCATAAGTTAATCCATTTTACATTTCCCTCCTCAAATAAAATATACTGTTTAATTTTTAATCTTACTTATTTGTTTTATTTTTTTTCTCCCCACTCGTTTTTGGAAAGGAAAAGGCCACAAATTTACTTGTGCTCTGAACTAGATATCAAATACAGTATAAAAAGAACAAGATTTGAAATTAACACTATTACAGGCCCTGATCCCTAATTTGTCTTTCCAAACTCATTTAGTAGTAAAGTTTGACCTGAATGGATCATAACTGAAAATTATGGTGTGAGTATTCATAAGTTTCCTACAGAAATATTAACGTGTTTGGAGGTGTTGCGTAGTAGTAGTCTTAGCTTTTAAGGAATCTTACTTCTGAATTCTGAAACATCTAGCCAAAAAGGTTATCATTAAAGGATGGTGAATTTGTTGTAAAAATTTCTGAAGTTGTGAAGAACTTTTTCTCTCATAATATATAATTGTTGTATTCTGGATTATATTAAAATTGGCTTATAAGGTACAGTTTTTAAACTGAATAATAAGAAAATTACTCGAAAACCTTCATTGTACTTTTTCTTTGTAGTGAATTTTCGGCACCTCTTTAAGTTTATGCATATTTAATGCCTGCTGGTGGCATAGAATTTAGGGTCTCTTAGCCTAACTCTATTTCTCCTAGTCTTGATATTTTAGTGGGCACAAGATGTTTCTGTAAAGATTCCTGGGTTTGTGGAAAAAGAAAAGATTGTGAAACTGAAGAAAATGAGTGAAATATAGATTTGAGTGTGTAGGGGGGGGGAAAGATAATCTTTTAAAAATATGCTGATGAACAGATGTATCAATAACCACAAAAACTGATGATATATTTAAACAATTTGTGTTTTTCTTCAAAATTTATGATATTTACCTTAATGGCAGATTTCAAATTATGTTGTACTCAGGTTAAATTTGAACTTTTATTTTAAATTATTTCTTAGATTTTGGGAGACATTGGTTAGTGAGAAGATACTTCAGGCATTTGAAGTATCTGATAGGAAGTAGTCCCAAGATTAAAAAAAAACTATGAATCAAAATGTTTTTCTGGAGGAAAGCATGAAGTGGTACCAGTGATGTTTATAACATTTTAAAGTTGCCATAGAAGTCTTTCTTTTTATTCCTATGTATCTCTTTCTCATATAACACAAATTGGAAAGAACTGTATAGGCAAATCTGGATAAGTTTTTCCACAAAGAGTAGAAAAATACTAGTAGTTCATATTTCAATCTCCAAAGCTGGCTTACTGCTAAGACTCATGACTGATAAGTAATGGGGTGTAGTAAATGGCCCTAATCTGTAGGACAGATCTGAAAACTAAGTTCATCTTGGTGTATAAAATGAACATGCTGAAATAATTTGTGATCTTTTCTTGTTTTTAATGGGAGGAGCAGTAGAGGCATCATTATTTTGGGACACAACCAACAGTGAACTAAAGGATGATGAATATAAAGAGATAAACTCAATATGAAAAATTACCAACAGCAGATGAACAGTGTTTTTTATTCAAAGGTACTGTTTTTTGTTGTTGTTGTTGTTTGTTTTTTTGTTTTTGTTTTTGCTTGTACCAGAGATTGAACCCAGGGGCACTTAACCACTGAGCCACATCCCCAGCCCTCTTTATATTTTATTTTGAGACTGGATCTCTCTACGTTACTTTAGGGCCTTACTAAATTGCTGAAGCTGGCTTTGAACTGGTGATCCTTCTGCCTCAGCCCTCCTAGTCACTGGGATTACAGGCATTTGCCCACCACACCCAGCCAAAAGGACTCTTTTCAGCATTGGTGCTTAATTTGGGGTCACCACTGATGATATTTATTGTATATTAAAGTTTACCCCCAAAATCCTAGGGGAAGGTTAAGACAACTATAATGTTTTTACGTTTTAGAAAAATTCCTTATTACCTAACAGAACAAAACATTCAAAAGCTTTTAACAGCTTTATTGAGATATAAATTATATGCCATAAATTTTACCCCCTTAAAGTGTATAAATCAATATTTACTATATTGATAATTAGTCAATCATCGTAACCTAATTTTAGATCACTATCATCCCCCAAAAGAAACACACCTGTTAGCAATCACTCTCCTCACCTCACCCCACCTACAACTTCCCAGTCCTATACAACCAGTAACAGACTTTCTGTCACTATAGATTTGCCTATTCTGGATACTTTGTATGAATAGGATCCTGCAATATGTGGCCATTTGTAACTGGCTTTCTTTCACTTATGTTCTCTAGATTCATCCATGTTTTAGCATATACTAGTACTTTGTTCCTTTTTTTAAGCCGAATAATAATTACCTTGTATCAATGTACCAACTTTTGTTTATGCATTCATCAGTTGATAGACATTTGAGTTGTCTACTTTCTGATTATTTGAATAATGCTACTATAAATATTTCTGTACAGGTTTTATGTGAGCATGTTTTCAATTTATCTTGAATATACTTTAGAGTGGATTGTATGATATGTTAATTCTATGTTTAACATTTCAAAAACTGCCAAACTGCTTTACAAAGTGACAGTACCATTTTATATACCTACTAAAAATATATGGAGATTCTAATTTTTACATGCCCTTCATTACAGTAATATAGCAATAGTGTTCATTATTATCTTTTTATTATTACTGTTCTAGTGAGTTTATCTTGTGGTTTTGATTTTCATTTCTATGAAGACTAACAATGTTGAACATATTTTCATATGTTTATTGACCATTTGTATATCTTCTGTAGAGAAATTTCTATTTTGATCCCTTACCCATTTTTAAATTGGATTATTTTATTGTTGTTGAGTTTTAAGTATTTGTTATATATTCTGGATAGAAGTTGCTAATGAGATCTATGATTTGCAAAGATTTTCTCCCATTACTCAGGTTGCTTTTTCACTTTTTTGATAGTGCCTTTTGAGGAATGAAATATTTTAATTTGATAATGTCCAACTAATCAATTTTTTCTTTTATCATTTGTGATTTTGATATTGTATCTAAGAAATCATTACCTAACCTCACATCATATTTACTCCTGTGTTTTCCTCTAGGAGTTTTATAGCTTTTGCTCATAATTTATGCCTTGATCCACTTTAAGTAACAGACTTTTTGTCACTATAGATTTGCCTATTCTGGATACTTTGTATAAATAGGATCATACAATATGTGGCGGTTTGTAACTGGCTTTGTGTGAAATAAGGATACAAATCCATTCTTTTTGTATGTAGAAATCTAATTGTTCCAGCACCATTTGATGAAAGTATTATTCTTAGACCATTGAACTGGTTTGGCCTCTTTGTCAAAAATCAACAGTCCATAAATGTTAGGATTTCTTTCTAGACTCAGTTATATTTGATACACCTGTATGTCTATCCCCATCCAATGCCACTGTCTTGACTGCTATAGTTTTAATTTTGAAATCTGGAATTCTGATTTGTTTTTCTTCTCCAAACTTGTTTTTCAGATTGTTTTGGTTGTTCAGGATCCCTTGCCTTTCCAAGAATGTAACATTTTATAATAAAGATAGAGACACAAGGATACAATATGTATTTTTCATTTTGTGCATAAATATTGAGTTTTTATGTATTGTTATACTTCTTTTGGGGGGTGGGGAGGGTTACCAGGGATTGAATTCAGGAGTACTTGACCACTGAGCCACATCCCCAGCCCTATTTTGTATTTTATTTAGAGACAGGATGTCACTGAGTTGATTAGTGACTTGCTTTTCCTGAGGCTGGCTTTAAACTGGCAATCCTTCTGCCTCAGCCTCCTGAGCCATTGGGATTACAGGCATGTACCACCATGTCCAGCTTCATGTATGATATACTTTAATCTACTTAGTGAACTGGAAATATCTATGATCTTATTTCTTTCCAGTATCATCCAGCTATATCTTCATTCATACAGTTATTATATAGTATAAAGTATTCACAAATGCAAACTTAAATATGAATATTTATTAGTAACATGGGTTTGTAGACTATATATTGCATAATATGCATTTTGATGGTATCTAGGGACTTTCTAATATAAATATATAGCTATTCAAGAAAATAAGGAAAGTAATGTTTATTCTCAAAAGGAAAACAGTTTATTCAGTTTGGTTTTAAATAATTACTATGTAGCTTATCCTCCCATCCCCCCAAAAGGGGCTATGGTCTGCCCCTTTAGTAAAAGTTCAGTGGGGAATAATCAACAGGTCATATGCTAGGCAAGTTATATTATCATGAATGTAACTTTGAAAATCTGGGAAAATGGCCACTCAGGGAACTATGGGTGACCCGCCTGATTATGGTGTGTCTTCCTGGCTGACATTTCAACTTTACTATTTTTGTTTTTGTTGAAACAGTGTCCTGCTATAATTACCCAGGCTGGTTCCAAAACTCATGGGCTCCACCTCAGCCTCCCAGTAGCTGGGACTACATGTGCATCTCACCAGGTCTTGTTTGAACCTACCTTTTATGAATTTTAGTAATACTTTTCAATTTTTAGTTGCATTTTTATCATTATTAAAATGAAATGTTTAGCAACATAGACATTTCCAGTTTATCAGTCAACTTTCAGAAAAAAAAATGTTACATTTTGAATGACTTGAAATCTGTTATCTTTATAGTACAGTGAATTTTTATTTTTATTTTTTATTTTTTTGCAGTGCTGAAGATTGAACTCAAGGCCTCGTAAATTATAGGCTAGTGCTCTAATATTAAGCTACATCCCCAGCCAGTGAATATTTTGTCTTTTTAAAATTTGCACTATATATTATTTCATGCCTCATATTCTGATACATGTCCAATAATATTCTTTGCCTATTAAAATGAATGTACATTGCCTTTGAAGTATACTAAGACTGTTGATTATTTTAAAAGACTTTTGGATATTAACCATCATTCCATATTTTTCTTCTGTTATTACATTGTCAGAATGGTATTATAAACTAACCATAAGAGCTTTGTTATAGGTTTATACAGAAGAGAAGGTATGTTTGTCTTAGTTAATTTTCTGTTGCTATAACTGAATAACTGAATATTACAGGCTGAGTAATTTGTAAAGAAAAGAAATGTATTCCTTATAGTTCTGGAGGTTGGCAATTCCAAAGTCAAGGGACCACATCTGATGAGAGTATTATTGCTGGTGGGACTCTCTGCAGAGTCCCAAGGCAGTGCAAGGCAGAGCAGGTTAGCCAAAGAAAGCTTGCTTTTATAACAAAACCACTCCCTCAATAACTCACTTACCCACTGATCTACAAACTACTGTCAGCGTATAACTTAAGTATTAAGTTTGCAACACACAAAATTTGGGGACACATTCAAACCACATGAATGCTATTCATATTATTTCATAAGGACAACTTAACAATTTGCATCTCCTCTTAGCTGTTTTTTGTTTTGTTTTATCTTTTGCCTTTCATGCTTGTGACTCCAATTAAATTTTTAAACTTAAAATTGCCAAGTACTTTTTGAAGGTCCTGTAATAAGGATTCTTATATCAGCCATGAGATGAGATGAAGTCACCCATAAAGTTATGCAACTTTAAAAAATGAGAAGCACAAATAATATTTTGTCAAGCTATTTGATATTTATGATGACCTAAAATGTTACATGATCTAAAGTACTCTCAGTAAGAATGAAATATAGAATTATGTTATACGTCGACTTAGAGTCACTTCACTTATTACTGTTTTATTCCTAACAATGTCTGTTGTAAGGCAGGGTTTGACATGAGTTCTGCCATCATTAACATGAGTAAGCTAAAGTTTCCTTTTCTGCTTCAAAACCACAACTCATGGAATCCAGTCTTCTTCCCCTTATAACAGCATTTCTACCATGTCAAATTCGTCTAAAAAATTGTTTTAATATATAAGGAACTTGGGATATATACTATATGCATATAAGGTATCAATTTTAGTGAAGTTAATTGAACATACAAATCCTGTTTTTAATTCCCCTTTCCTGTTACTGGATACTTTTAAACATAAACTCCTAAGGTTATTATAGTTCTTTGAAGAGGCAGTTTCTTTTTTTTTATTTTCTCTTTTTTATTTTCTCTCATTCCTTCATCCCCCAGGATGAACCCAGGGCCTGAAGCACACTAAGTGCAGGCTCTGCCTGAGCCACACCCTCCCCATCTCTGAAGCAGTTTCATTTTTGGTTAGTGCCCAGGTGGAACCATGGGTTCCTAGAGTTGAAACTTCTCACAACCCTGATTTTCCCTCTATGCTACTTCCTGCTTGCTTTTACTTTAGTTCTACACATTGAATATCTTTAAAATGTCTCATTTCAACTCACATATTCAGGAGTTCCTTTAAGTTTCCTCTTTCTTTAAATTCATATATTTCTAAAACCATCTCTGTTTTGTTTTGTTTACTTCGGACCATATCGACTCCCAGAGCTAAAAGCTCTTACAGTACATATTAGGTGGAGCCAGACTCCTCAACCCCAAGGCTCAATACAATCCTTTGACACTGAGCAGCGAGGAAGCAGTGGGAGGATATGATCAGTGAATATTCAGGAATGCAAACCTGGACTTCAAGAGACTACAAGTTATCCTAAGAAATTTCATGAAATAAGGAATTTCATGTGAGGACTGAGAATGTAGCTTGGTGGTAGAGTACTTATGAGTTTAATCCGCAGCAGCACAAATAATAATACTATAAAGAATTCCATGAGAGCCTTCTAAAGCTACCAACTGTTCGTGCATTTCCCCATCCTGCATCTTGGGTACTTCTTTATACGTGGGTTGCTGAGTTCCCCATTTAACCCCAAGGGAGGAAATTTTTTTCTTTAAATTAATCTGGGGTAAACTTAAATTTTCAAGAGGAATTGAAATAGGAATTTTAATACAAAGCATATAGAAATGGGCATGCAGAATGCAAACATATCCTGATAATTAAAATCTAGCCATAATGTAGCTTACCTGGTACTAATGAGACTCTGTCTCAGATTATTCTAAATCAGCAATTCTCTAAATGGGGTGATTTTGCCCACTGAAGACATTTGATAATATCTGAAAACACTATTGGTTTTCACAGCTGTTGGGGTGGTGATACAGGAAAGGGATCACGAAGACCAGGGATCGCACAGGACAGCTGCCCACAAGAAAAAATTATCTGGCCCCAAATTTCAGTAGCACTAAGGTCGAGAATTTTGGTTTAAGGAGATGTATGAGAAGAAAGAGTTTCAATAAGGATGCTTAACCTTCAAGCCAAAAGTGCATTGAATTAATACTCTTATATACTAGCTCTGCAAAAGCAGGATCAACCTTAAAATTTGTTCTAATTCAATAGAACCATATCTGTTTGGCCTGACAACCAAATTTTGTTTCCTGCCTGTAGGAATTCCAACTCACTAATAATTTTCTTTTACCTGTCGCGCACATGTGTGTGTGTGTGTTGTTGTTGTTGTTGTTATTGATTGAAACTAGGGTTTTGTATGTGCAATCTATATCTCTAGCCTCACACTGATAATTTTTTAACAAAGAGCAAATAAAACCTATACCTAATCAATGATTAATACTTGATTAACTTAGGGACCTGGGTTTCTCTCCTTTCCCAGTTCTCTTTGATTATGTAAGTGCTCCTAAGAGAACAACCCCACAGATTTTCATCACTGGTTTTAAGATATCATTGTGAAATTTCCTTAAAGAGGTCACTAACAAGTTGGCATAGTAGTGCATGCCTATAATCCCAGTGACTCAGGAGGCAGAAGCAGGAGAATCAAAAGTTTGAGGTCAGCCCCAGCAACTTAAAGAGATCCTATTTCAAAATAAAAAATAAAAGGGACTGGGGATAGCTCAGCAGTAGAGCAACCCTGGGTTCAAATCCCCAACCCCTGCAAAAAGAAAAAAAAATGTCACAAAAAAAGTTTTTATTTAGCATATACTGAATGCCTCACATTCCATATGGCACTATACAAAATTTTTTTTAATTACCATCTTCACTAGTTTTGTTGTTATTAGTTTGTTTTTTATAGTGCTAGGGATCAAATTCACTAATTTTACATGAATATTTTGTCCTCTGTTTATATTGGGGGTCCTTGCAAAGAGCAAGAACATGAAATTTGAAATATGCTACTGTTGAAGGGACACCAGTAGAGTAAGGTAAGGGGGCTGGGGAGAGAGGAAGGAGTGGGGAAAGAGGGGGAAGAAGGGGTATTGGGGAACAAAATTGACCAAATTATGTTATGTACATGTACAAAGATGTCACAGTGAATCCAACTATTATGTGCATTATAATTCACCAACAAAAAAACAATCAGTTTAAAAAAGACATATGCTATTGTTGGGGCTCAGGAAACAATACCCAAACTCTAAATTATAGTGACTTTGAACTAAAGGAGTAACATCAAGGTATTTCTCTGAACTTCCTCCTACCCCCGCCCCCTATGCTGGTCTCTGAATCCTCGTTCTTTCCCAAAGTGCAGAGGGGGGCTTCTTCTGAGGTTCCATTCCCATAGGAATGCAAGTGTTATGAAATCTCACTCACCAGGAAAGGTTAACCGCTGAGAAATAGAAAAGTTGAGGTTTCCACACCAAGGACCTTCTGCCAGCCAGAGTTCTCATCTATTCTTTTGAGGGCAGCTCTGAGAGATCACTGAGAGACTGCATCTACTAATAGGACAACCTTTATTTGTGTGCTTCCTCCCTTCACTCATGCTATTATTGCTTGTCATTGCTACCCTCCAGGATACCCCAAACCCTCCCTATCCAAGCCTCTATTCCTCTTTGTAGCTTGACTTTGGACTCTACCATCTGGCTCTTCTGAGGAGCTCATAGTTTGTGTAAGACTCTTGGGCCGTGAATTTTCTGGGTACTTGTTAATTTATTATGTCTTTTTCTTCCACTGATCTGTCTCTTGTCTGTTTGAAATTGCCTGATGGGTTAATTTATCCTTTGCAAACTTGCTTTTTGGTTTCTTTACCTTTGCCTGGCATTCTAAACCTTAAAGAAAAGCCACACCTACATGATTAAAATGTCACCTCAAAAGTCAGCTATTCTAGGATAAAACAGGAAACACAATGGTGTGTTCTTCACCTTTCCATCATTGTGCCAAAAACACCTGGAGAAATTAACTTAAAAGAAAGAAAAGATTATTTGGCTCATGGTTTTAGTCCATGCCTATAATCCCAGTGACTCAGGAGGCAGATGCAGGAGAATCAAAAGTTTGAGGTCAGCCCCAGCAACTTAAAGAGATCCTATTTCAAAATAAAAAAATAAAAGGGACTGGGGATAGCTCAGCAGTAGAGCAACCCTGGGTTCAAATCCCCAACCCCCGCAAAAAGAAAAAAAATGTCACTTGCCTCCTTTGGTCTGGCAGGAGGTGAGGCAGAACATCATGGTG